AATATATTATATATATATATATCTTTCCATAACAATTATTAATTAATTATATTTATATATAATTATATATATATTTATAATTAATACAAAAATGATCATTTAAATAATTAAATAACCATGGACCTTTATTAATTAACCCAATAAGGCTTCATACAAGCCCAAGACCACATCTTTTGGTCCAAATTTCCTTAAGCCCAAATCCAATTAATTTAAAAAATTAAATAATTAAATAAACACTTAAATTAAAAAACTGATTACACTAAGCACATAAATAAAACAATAAATTACAATAATTAATAATTCAATCAATAATTAAGCGCACACACAATAATCATCATATCAATAATTCACGAAATATAAATAAAATAAAACAATTAATCTAAGCACTTAATAAAACAAATCAATTAAAAATTAAAATAAACGCAATTAATTCAAATTGAATCAAATAAATTATTTAAAAATAAAATAAAAGTAATTAATTCTAATTAATGAATCCTTTAAAATATCGGGGTATTACATTAAGATCATTGTTTCGATCATCGCGGGAAAAGATCTCTAGGAATAAGTATCGTGGGATGAAAATGTAACTTTGTTAGTTACACCCCAATCTATTTGCTCCATTGACCATGGAAAACCTCCTTCGATAAACAGGGATAGCTTTGGATAAGTATCACCTCGATATATCATGTCGAAATGATTATCAATATAAAATTGTTTTATTATTGTCTGATGATCTTTAATCTTTCTTGAAATCTGTCTAAAAATATTAAAATTGAAGAGGTCTCTTGCTTTTTCAAGAAGACAAATTCTTTTGATTTTTTCAGAAATTGTACTCGGAAAATCATTTTCAACTAGTTTTGCTAGTTATAAAAACCAATCAATTTGGGATAGAGTAAAATCTTTTTCCAATCGATTGTCAAACATATTTGAATACAAAGTTGTTCGAGTTGTTCTGTCATTGTTGTTTGTCAAGGCTCTCTTCCATGGTCCAAATCCAAACCCAAATCCATTAACTTAAAATAAATTCAATCATAATAAATAATTAGACAACAAATAATTAACTTACAATCGCAAATGCATAAAAAATTACAGACACAAATACACTAACAATTAATGTCAAACAATTCACATTACAAACAGACTTTAATGTTTCTGATTTTTACTATTTTCCATTTTTTGTGATTTTTCTGATTTTTAGGGTATTTTCGTCTTGTCTCATTTTACGTGTCGGACATTGTAGGGTGTGCCGGGTGTGTTCCAGGGATGGTTGGAGCATTTCCTTGAGTTCAGGACTCTTGGAAATGCATTGGTTACCATTTTGACATTTTTTCATTTTTCGGACAGGGTCCTAGGTGAGACCCGTTACCGGGATTGTTGTGTACCGCGTTTGTGTTTTGAGTTCATTGCATTTCCCCCATTTTTATTTAATGCATTTTATGTGGTGACATATTTATTTGTGGTTGTTATTTGGTTAATATATGTATATGTATATCTTAGTGGAAGTTGATTTTTATTAACCGTGGGACCCGTCATTTGTGTCAATCATTACAAATGACCATATTTGGTCATTACGAGACCAATTGTTCTTCTTTCTCTCTCGCAGCAAGCTTTCTCTCTCTTTACATAAACTTTCTCTCTCTAAAATCAAACACTTTAAGCTCCAAATTCACCATATTTCACTTGGATTTCAACTTTGCCATATAATGGCAAAGTTGACAAGCTCGTTATGAGTTTCGTTTTGATCGGAGCAATTTTTAGTTTAGAGTACCTTTGGGAATTTTAAAATTGGGCTGAAATTGGGATTTTCTTCATCTAGTGAGGTAGGGATGTTCTAATTCACAAGTTCTTTGGCTTTGGTGAATTTCCCCTTTTTAATTTGATTATAAGCATGCTTAATTTGATTATTTTTCCTATTGCCTTAAGGGTTTGTGTATAACTATGCTCTATGTGACTATGTGGTTAAAAATGCATGATACTTGGAATGATCTGATGAAGTATGCTAAATTGAAATCAATGTTTGCATTGTATGTGTATGAAAAATGCTGAAATTTCAAGTTATGTCAAGTCATGAAATATACCTATTATGTTAGATTGCCTGTTTTGTGTTGTTGTGGTGGTTATTGTGCAGTCGTTGTTGTTGCCATATTTTCCCCTATGGCATGATCCCTTACTTCCTTATACTATGTTTTGTTTGGATTCACGGGGTCATTAAGAGGTGTTTCTTAGACACCTCCAACTGAGCCGTTGTGCTCACCCCTTCTTTATCATTTTCAGGGTTCTAGAAGCGGCGGAGTGGATGAGACACCTTCACATGCTTATACGTAGTTGGAAGTTTATATTTTGAAATTTATGTACCCAAATTCAATGTAAATGAACTTATCCCAATATATAATGATGTAATTTGATCTTGCCTTGATGTATAGATGTTGTTTTATCATTATACATATGTTTATGGATGTATTGGGGTAGGTTTAACCATTTTAGAAGTCACAAGTGAAGCCATAAGGTTGCCAAATTGTTTAGGCACTTAAACAGTGAGAAACTTGCATTTCTGGACCATTTCGGTTTTTTTCTTTGAAATCATTCTGGAAGACAAATTGTTGGTCCTAAGTTACCTTAAGGAACGTTTGCCTTTTAATGTCCAAAAGTAATGCTTAGCCTTGGACATTACAATGATTCAGCCTCGAAGGCGAGCCCTTGCGATTAACCAATAGTACCAGACATAGTCGTTATCCAGTGAATCAGGGCCATGTTGTATTCGGAAGAAAAGTCGGTAATGACAAATAATTGTGGTGGACCGATGGCGATAGTAGGTGTGATACCCCTCGGAATTCCGATTATATCCCTTCCAAAACTAGGGGTATTACAGTAGGTTGCAGCGGGTGGCCAAAGAACGAAAGGTCAAGAGTCTAGTTGGATCAATTAAGCAAAAGCCTGCAAAAGAAACGTGATAGAGTGGGAAAGTCAAAAGTGGGAAAGAGAAGAGAGAGAAAGAAAGAAAAAAAGAAAAAAAAAGAGAGAGAAAGAGAAGAATCTGGAATCTGCTGCCTCCTCCAATAAAACCACTACCCAGGTCAGTAATTTCATTTAAGTTTTTTTTCTCCTCCTCATTTTCTCTTCAACTCTTTTCTCTCTCATCTGTTTTTTTTTTTTTTTCTCTGGCTCTTTTTTTTTTTTTTTTTTTTTTTTTCTTTCTTGGTTTTTTTTTTTTCTTCTTTCTGGGTTTCTGTTTTTCTTCCTTCTTTTTCTTCATGTAAGGGCTTTGTTTAGGGGCTCGACTACTCCTTTCTCTGTCTTCTCTTTGGCCAAACTAGCTTTCAAATTTTTTTTTTTTTTTCCCTTTCATCTACTCCAGTAATCCTCTGCTTTTTTTTTTCCTCCTCCTTTTCTCTTATCTTCTATTCTCTTATCTTCTCCTTCCTCTTCTCTCTCTCATCTGGTTTATTTTATTTTTTTTAATTTTTTTTTGGGTCTCTGTAATTTTTTTTTCCCTCTTATTTCTGAGTCTTCTCTCTGGCCTTCATCTACTCCTCTGTTTTTTCTTTATTTTCTTCATCTACTTTATTTCTTTATTATTATTATTATTATTATTATTTCAATCTATGTCTCTCATTTTTTTCTGATCTCTATCTCTCATTTTTTTTCTCCTTTCTTGGCTTCTTCTTTTGAATGCAATTTGTTGAAATTTCCTGCATGTTGTTTGCTGGAATTTGCTAGATTATTTAAATTTTGAATGTTTGTTTCTGAATGCTATTTGCTGAATTGCCTGAATGCTTGTTTGCTGAATTTAACTTGGTCCATTGACTCCATTCTATTTCTCATTGTAAATAGATAGGAAAAAATGTCAAAGGATCCAGGTTGAAAATATTGTCACTTGCAAAACCCACAAGATAGGAATGCAACAACATGTAATTTTTGTGAAAAATTTATGAAATGAGTTATTTATAGGGCCTATAGAAATGTACAAGCATGTAAAAAGTGCCCTGAACATGTGAAAGAAGATATTAGAGAATACATGAGCAAAAAGAAAGAAGAAAAGGAACACACAAATTTGTTGCCTGATTTTGATGACATGGATGATCAAGATGAGGATGATGTAACAATCATTGATGTTAAGGGTAAAAGAGTGGCAAGCGGAACTGGAAGCAATAATATTCAATCAAAAAAGCAAAAGCAGAAAGGTCCTATTGATTTGTACTTCACCCCTCCTCCGGAAGTAGTTGTGGAAAATAGAAAAAATGACAAGAGTAAGCAAACAACAATTGATAATGCTTGCAAGAAAGAACTTAGAAACCGAGCATGTCAACGGTTTGCAAGATGGATGTATGATACTGGGATATCATTCAATGCCCCTAATTATAATAGTTTTGCACTAGTTGTTGAAGCTATTGGCCAACATAGTCCAGGAATGAAACCTCCTTCTTATCATGAAGTGAGGGTTCCCCTCTTTAAGAAAGAACTGGTGCATACAGACAATTTAATGCGGGATTATAGAGAGGAATGGGCAAAATTCGGGTGCACAATTATGGTAGATGGATGGGAGGATAAAAGACATAGGGGTTTGATTAATTTTCTGGTGAATTATCCTAAAGGGACAATGTTCATTCAATCTGTTGATACTTCCTCTTATTCAAAGACCGGTGAAAAAATGTTTGATTTACTTAACAAGTTCGTGCAACAAATTGGAACATTAAATGTGATTCAAGTAGTCACTGATAGTGCCTCTTCTAATGTTGTGGCAAGTATAAATATTAATATGTACTTGATGTGGAAATTTTAGGTTTATTGTTTCTAACCTTCTATTAATCCATCTTTTCTTTCTTTACAATAGGGAGAATGTTGGAAGGAAGGCACCAACATTTGTATTAGTCACCTTGTGCTGCACATTGTGTGGATCTGATGTTGGAAGACATTGCTAAGATCACAAATATAATGAGGACCATAAAGAGAGCTATATAATGTTAAATGGTTATATTTATAACCGTTCGGGTTTGTTGAACATGATGAGGCGTTATACTGGACATAAAGAGTTGCTTAAACCTACAACGACTCGATTTGCCACTTCATTTATCACGTTATCAAGCATCTATGATCAAAAGGATTGCTTGAGGAAGATGTTCACTTCACAAGAATGGATCTCCAGTAAATGGGCGAAAGAGATAGAAAGGAAAAATGTAACACAGATTGTGTTGATGCCTACATTTTGGACAAGCATTGTGTACTCTCTCAAAGTAGCAAGCCCTCTTGTTCGTGTACTTAAATTGGTTGATGGTGAGAGAAGGCCTCCAATGGGATATATTTATGAGGCTATGGAAAGGGCTAAATGTAATACCCCAAATTTTAAAAAGGATATTCCTGGTATTTAATGGTATTTTATTTATTATTTAAGTGCATTTTATTTGATTATGTGTCATTATTTTTTTATTAGGTGCTTAATTGTTTTCTTTTGTGGTGATTTAATTTATTTAAATGATATTTATTTTTAGTTATTTGATTGGAATTACTTGTTAGTGTTAATTATTTAATTGGCATTAATGGTTTAAGTGTAATTGGTTTAGTTATTTGATTGGAATTACTTGTTAGTGTTTTAATTATTTAATTGGCATAAATGGTTTAAGTGTAATTGGTTTAATTATTCTATGTGTGTCTTATTTTATGTGTGTCTTATTTGGTTTAATTGGGTTTACTAATTATTATTTTGTTCAATTAGATTATTTGTTAAGTATTTAATGGTGAATAGGGTAATTAGGTAAATACATCTAACTAGGGTTTTAATTACAGTATAAATTAGGGTTTTATATTATAGCCGTCGTAGGTTTCTACGTTAATTGGATGGGCCGGTTAGGATTGTGAGTTGGACTTAAATGAACCTAGGGTTTAGGAAAACTCTATAAGTATAAGGTAGACGTCTGTGTAGGGTTTTTTTAAACAAAGTACACGTTTTGTGGAAGTGGAGAAGGAAAAACGCAGTTTTTCACATTCTGCCAAGGTTTGATCAAAGCTCCGATTCCGCTTCGTCCGTGGTCCGATCGAGCTGAATTTTGGAGGAGAGGTTCATGACTTAGTGACGCACAATCTGAACGGTCGAGATCAGAGTTTGACCTCGGGAACAGTAATTCGTACTCGTGAACAGTAACTGGGTCGCACAGGTTTTTTCCATTCTGCCTAGATTTCATCAAACATCCGATCCCGCTTCGTCCGTGGTCCGATCGAGCTGAAATTTGGAGGATAGGTTCATGACTTAGTGTCGCACAATCTGAACGGTGAAGATCAGATTTTGAGTTCGGAAATAGTATTTCGTACCCGTGAACAGTAACCGGGTTTTGGAACTCGCCGGGATTTTTTAAGAAGACGACGTTGAAACTTTGAACAAAAGTTTCTGAGGCAAGATTCTATCCTTACTCTTTTCCTTAGGCTTCATACTCTTTACACTCTTAAATGATTCCAGGATTAATGAAGATTAAACCAAACTAAAATGATATCTGTTTTGCTATGAAACTGGTAGTTACAGTAGTGTTGTATGCTTGTTCAACCTAGACTAAGCATGTTTGTGGATGCATTGTGGTTCTGTAATTCACGTTTTTCCTTACCACTACTAGTATAAATTATTGGAAGGATGGGTCTTGATGATAGCTATCTTAACTTCTGTTATAGCAACTGTTGGAACTTAAATACTAGGAGGATTTGAGTTTAACACTAGATCGGTTTTGTGGAACACTATAATTTGAGCATGTCTACATACATACTGTGAATATTGTTTTGATGCTTACATTATCACAGTTAGTATCAACTGTGGAGGTTAGGATTTTGTGATACATACCCTACATATCTGTATGTCATTTGTAAGGTGTTAAATGGAAGTTTTAATTAATTCTGTCTTTATATCAGACTAAAGGGAACAACTTAAATTGGGCATGTATATGTTGTTGTTGTGACCCTGTGTAACAACCCACTCTACCACATGGTATGATATTGTCCGCTTTGGGCCTGAGCCCGCACGGTTTTGCTCTTGGGCTTCACCCCAAAAGGCCTCATACCAATTGGAGGTGACACACTTACATATAAGTACTTTACCTTTCCTCTACCCAGGCGATGTGGGACTGTGCACCCGTAGCTCGCCAGTGTGGTAGCCTGACAGTGTCTCTCGCACCCGCCCACGGCACACCCGCCCACAGGGTCATCACAATCACCCCCCCTTTGGGGCCTAACGTCCTCGTTGGCCACACTTCCGGCTGGGTCAGGCTCTGATACCATTTGTAACGACCTGCTCCACCACATGGTATGATATTGTCCGCTTTGGGCCTGAGCCCGCACGGTTTTGCTCTTGGGCTTCACCCCAAAAGGCCTCATACCAATTGGAGGTGACACACTTACATATAAGTACTTCACCTTTCCTCTACCCAGGCGATGTGGGACTGTGCACCCGTAGCTCGCCAGTGTGGTAGCCTGACAGTGTCTCTCGCACCCGCCCACGGCACACCCGCCCACAGGGTCATCACACCCTGTTTATCAATGCTTATTTTATCACTGCTAACATTGAATGTTGGATGTTGAAATTTAGTTGATATATACTTGATTTATTGGTATTATTGACTACTGGAGGATTGGAAAGTAGGCACCGGTATGGGACCGTGGCATACTAAGGATGGGTTTGGTTTTTAAAACAATACCATTACCCACCTACTTGGAATAAGGATGGGATTAACTAAAAGTTAAGTCCCGTGGATTTTTATTGTCATGGCAACTACTTGTTGAGCGGCAATACCAGGGATTTTGGATGGATTTTATATATGTACTGTTATGGTGCCTCGGTATGAGCTTGAGCCTCAGGACCGATGGCTAGGGAGCGTATATGCATCGGGATGTGTAGCTGGCTACGATGGTTGGAGGTGTACCCTATTTAGGTATAGGTACATATGCCCACTTCGTGTGCGTTTTAGCATGTTACCTCTATTCAGGTTGAGACCGGCCTGTAGTCCAGTGAGAGTCCTTTAGTGTGACTATATATATATTTACGGACTATTAGCTATTGTTGAATTCTTTAGGATGTACATGCGTATCGGGCCTCTGTTTGGATTGTAGTAGTATAGAATTTGCGCGTGGGCCTGACCCACTTCTATTTTTCAGATACACGACAGTTCCAGGCTTAGACGTGTTCGTGCTGAGCAGAGGTCTCTATTCATTCTTCCGACGATGTAGGGCTCTCTCTATAGTTTTATTTCTGGACGTTTATTACAGTTGTTCTATCTTCCGTTTAGATGTTTAATAGGGGTCCACTAGAGATGGATTCCCAAGTTGTAAACTGATGGAGTTTTGGAGTTTGGGTTTGATGAATTTTAATAATTATAATATTTTGCGGATTCTATTTTTAGTTCCTTCCAGCTTTAATTTCATTTCTTAATTTATTTTGTATTCCGTGTTCATTATAAAATATTAATTGTTTAATATTCCCTCGAGTTTGGGCCTGGGCCTGATCAATCCGTGTCTCGGATCCGAGGAGTATCACACTAAAGAAGCGAATACTAAAGCTTTTGGTGGGAATGAGGAGAAGTATAAGGACATCTTTAAGATCATTGATATAAGGTGGAATATCCAACTCCATCGCCCTTTGCATGCAGTTGGGCATTTCTTTAACCCAGAATATTTTTATAGCAAACCAAATATTGAGCAAGATGAAGAGGTGATGGATGGTTTATATCAATGCATAGAAAGACTGGTTCCAACAACTGAAGTGCAAGATAAAATTTCTTTGGAGCTGAGTAGATATATGAAAACTGGTGGTCTATTTGGCTCATCAATTGCTGTTAGACAAATAAAGTCAAGGGCACCAGGTAAACAACTCAATTAATCATTTTTTAGTATATTTGAATTTTAATTTTGTTAATTTTTTACTAATAATATGTAAATAACAGCCGATTGGTGGTTCGCATATGGTTCTACAACTCCTAATTTGCAAAAGTTTGCTATTAAAGTGCTTAGCCTCACATGTAGCGCATCTGGGTGTGAACGAAATTGGAGTGTATTTGAACATGTAAGTTTGTAGTTTTAGTAATTCAATGATAAAAAATTAGATTATAAACAGTTATACACTTATACTTATTAATTATTTGAATTAATGCAGCTTCATAGCAAGAAGAGGAACTGGCTAACTCAATATCGATTGAATGACTTGGTTTTCATCAAGTGTAATAGAGCACTAAAATGACGATATGACATGCGTGATAGGATCGATCCCATCCTTTTAAATGATATAGATGATAACAATGAGTGGTTGGTTGGAGTAATGGATGAAGATGTAGATGCCAAAAATGAGTTGGTGTTTGAAGACGACTCTTTGACATGGGGTGCAGTTGTTAGAGCTACTGGGGCTGGAGAGTCCAACCATAATTTAAGATCAAGATTAGCTCCAAGGGCAACAAAGAGGATAACACCTTCATGCTCGTCTTCACTACGAATCATAGATGATGACGAGGCAAACTCTGAGGAGATAGAAGAGGAAGAAGATGATGAGGGTTACAAATCTTTTAATGGGGACGATGATGAGACTATGTTGTTTGGTGAAGATGATGATATTTAGGTCCCTTAAGATTGTTTGGTAACTTTGGTTTTAGGAGTCCTTGTCAAAACTCAAAACTGAAAGTCTGAAACTAATATTTTTGTTGTAATATATGGTTAAATGGTTTATGTTTTGCTTCTTTTGAATCTTTCTTATGAATAAATAGCTTTATTAGTTTAATTGTTCTATTTTACTGGTTGCTTTATTGGTTTAATTGTGATATATTTAAACTAATTTAGTGTTTTAATTATTGGATGTTCATTGTTTAATTGTATTATATTTGCTAAGAATTATTGTTTTAAAATTTTACTTATGTGCCTCACATCACTCAGGCTTGAGCCTCGCGCCTAGGCTCCAAGGGACCTCTAGCGCCTCGGTGCACCTTGGGTTTTTAATAACTATACTTGCGACATAGGTTCAAATGACTATTATGACTTATTTTGACCTATTATGACTTATTTAGAGTCATGTCATTTATTTCCATGCATTAGTGATTGTTTTACCCTTGGACGTTCTCGGGTTCGGGTAAGGACCCGGTTAGCGATTCGGATCTCTGGGTTCAGGTCGTTACACAGACTAACAAAGAAATACACATACTAGATAAACAATTAAATATCCAATTATATTAAATCACACTCTATCAATTTAGCAAATAATTTAAATAAATAATTAGCCAAATAAATCAATTAAAATAATTAAATAAACCTCTGGAAATTAGGGATATTACAATTTCTTTCTTCAAAAGAATACTACATTAATCCAAAATAATACATGTTCGTTCATACACATCCCAAAATACATGTCCATTGCTACACATAGCATACAAAATAAATGAAATCCCCAACCAAGCTAAGGGTGAGAGGGCTCCTCTAGGACAACGCCCTTACTTGAAAAGATGAAATCAACATGTGTGGATAATTTAAATTACTCCGTAAGAAATGCATTATGGAAATAAACTAGGTTTCATTATTCTTACAAATGTAGCATATGCTAAACAAGTATGGGACATTCCTCCTAATGTCTAATTCAATGATAATTCTAAAGAAACATCTTAGAACTAGCAATTGAATTAAATATGACAATTCCATTCGAGGGTATACCAACACAAGAAAATACTATGAAACCAAAATGCACCAAGTTACAACTACACATGGATGTCAACTTGGAAAATAAGATCTGAAATCACATAAAGGGATAACTTGGACACACTCACACCCCCGGTCATACCTACTGCATGAACTGATAAAATAGTTATTCTCGGTCTACTAAACCGCAGGGAACAAACCTAATGGCCGTTATAAAGTTGGGGAAACCCGAGTTTCGCCCACTAGCGCTAAGCCCTAACATTCTCAGAGTAACAAAAGGTCACAAGTGTCTCCCAAAAATCATAAATCAAATCCCGCAACATATCACATACATAATGATGAAATAAAGCACTTCACAAATGCATATAACCTTCACTGCTCAAGCAACACATGTCCGAGAATCCTAAATACTATTATGGCATTTATTTCGATACAAATGACATCAAACATGATAGTCTAAGATTATAGTTAGCACAAATATCACAAGTGAAGCATTCTATCAATATAACCCATATGAAGTGACCAAATTGATTGTATATCCATGTATTCAAAATAGAACTAGTACTATTATCAAAATGAGCACAACAATGTAATTAAACTTAACTATTAACGTCATATAAGCAAAATACATGAAGTCACATACAAGTAAATTATGATTTCTCCAACCATCATCATCCATATATATGTCATGTAAGTATCTAAATCAAAGAGCTAATCAATGGCATGCTTAAAATCATCATTTAGGAGCTAGGTTATCAAGAATCATGCATAAAAAACACTCACAACTCACAATATACATGCATAACACAAACCACACCTCAAAACACAGGAAAGGACTGGGTTAAAGCCACACTACACCCCCTACCTCAAGCTAGGAGCAAACCCTAGATACTCCAAGAAGAAACGAGCTCCGAATTCAAAAATAATAGACGAGTTTCGTGGCCCTAAGTGTCTTCTTGATTTCTCCCTTCTATGGCATAGTCAAGAAGACCAATGGAAGGGAGGGAAATGAAGCTTTAGGTTATATGAAAATGGTGAAAATCGTGTGTATGGGAGAAAGAAGAAGATGAAGTTTAGGGAAGGAGAAAGAGAGAGATGGAGATATTTAGTATCTCTACACACCTACACTAGCACTACCTCTCTTTCACATACACACACACATCCATCCCTACACATGTCACGCATCCAACCCCACACTTATCACACATCCAACCCCTTGGGTCCTATCAACTTTCTCAAATCGCTTAAAAACCCCAAATGAAAATAACTCAAAAGATAAAGCCGTAAATGCCCCAAAATATTATATGTATGATAACCATATCCCTAGTGAAATAAAAGATGAGTGTCGGAAACTATTCCCGAACACTTGACCCAACTCGGCCCATATAACCCGAACAATGCAATAAAATAAATATGACAAGAAAAATAAAAAGGGAACGGTACTTACAATTAAGGTTAATCCTATTCATTCTCAGCACAGTTCTGTCCTTTCAGCAATTTATGCTACAAATTCAATTAATGAAAGAATGAATCTATGGTAGTATCTACTGAATCAGTCTCAAAATGTCAATGGTGCATAGCTTACCATTGGTGACTAGAATGTTGTGAAGGCTCACGTTGATAAGGTTGGGGGAAAGTCTTTTCCTCAGTCTATTTTGAATGAATTCAATTTGGTTAATGATTCTTGTGATTTATTTGAGGTTCCTATGGTGAATGAAAATTGGATTTGGACAAATAAACAGTTTTTGTGTAGAAGAATTTGTGCCAACATGGAAAGGGGCATGGTCAATCCTAATTGGTTGGACATATTCCCCAATAACAAAGTTATGTTATTTTGTTCTTCCTTCTCTGATCACTATGGTCTAGTGTTTTCTTCCTCCATAAATTGTAGTGCTGGCCCAAAACCTTTCAAGTTTTTGAAAGTTTGGTGCTTGATGGATGAGGTTGAGCAGTTTTGTGTGTTTTGTTTGGAGTCAACATCTAGCATTAAATCTTATACACAACCTGCAGAAGGAATTAAGACAAGCAAAAGAGGCTGTGAAAGCTTGGAATAACTCAAAATCTCACATTCCAAAAGCTTGCTATCGAGATTAGTCCCGTTGTCCATGATGATTAACCTGGGTACGCCAAAGCAACAAATAATGTTACTCCAGATAAAGCATCTTACATGAGTTTGGGTTACACTAGAATACGGCTCTGCCTCCACCCATTTGGTAAAGTAGTCTGTTGCTAGCAGAACGTATTTGTTCTGCGACCTAGCGGTTGGCAGAGGGCTAACCACATCCATCCCCCACTACGTGAAAGGCCATGGTTTGGCCATTACGTGCAGGTCCTCAGGTGGTTGGTGGATCAACGGTCTGAACCTCTGGCACTTATCGCATCTTCGAGAGAATTCTTCTGCATCTCGCGACATGTTCGGCCAGAAATATCCTTGTGTCATTGCTTTATGAGCTAGAGATCTTCATCCTGAATGATTGCCACACACACCCTCATGGATGGTGCGCAAGATCTCTCTAGCTTCTGTGGGAGTAGCACACTTCAAGTATAGTCCTGAGAAAGATCGTCTGTACAACTGATTATGAACGATAGCATACTTTACAACATTTGACCTAATCTTCCTTGCTTCCTCTTTCCTCTCGGGTAGCACACCATCCCTTATGAAAATCAGAATTGGGTCAATACAGCTCGGCTCATATGGTATGACATTGACTTGCCGAGGGCCCGAGCCGGATGGTTCCCCAAAAATGGATGGCTGAGACAACATATCAACTGGTATTACTCTAGCCAATGTCTCTCCAGAACTTGATGCACTACAAGCCAATTAATTGGCATCTTCATTATATTCCCTAGGCAATTGAACGAACTTAATCTGATCGAAGTGTTTGGCCTCACGCAGAACGGCAGATCGGTATGCCTCCATTATTTCATCTATGGTTCCATACTCTCCATTCACCTACCGAATGATCAGTTGTGCATCACTAAAAACAACTAGGCTTTTGATCTTTAATTCTTTAGCCAGCTTGAGTCCAGCCAGTAATGCTTCGTACTCGGCCTCATTGTTGGTTGCACTGAATTCAAGTCTTATCGCTTGACTCAACGTAGTTCCCTCTAGCGTTTGCAATTTGATCCTAATTACTGCCCCCATTTGATTAGAAGAACCATCCACAAAGAGCTTCCATGAAGAGCCTCCAAGATCGTTGTCTATGTCTTCTGCGTCACATTCTAGCAGGAAATCAGCTACTGCTTGCCCTTTGATGGCTGTTCTGGGTGCATATGTTATGTCAAATGAGCTCAATTCAATGGCCCACTTTGTCATTCTTCCTGACAAATCTGGCTTATACAGGATCACCCTTATAGGAAAAGTGCTCAGAACTACGATTGGATGGGATTCAAAATAATGCCTGAGTTTCCGTTTCGCATTAACCAATGACAAGATTACTCGCTCGACCTTTGAATACCTTTTTTTTCTGGGTCAGCTATTGTTTTGCTGACGTAGAACACTGGGAACTCCTTTCCTTCTGCACAGCGCACCAGAACGCACTCGTCGCTATGCTGGATACACCAAGGTACATAAAAGAGCTTTTCACTCGATTCGGGGGCAGTCAAGATTGGAGGGTTTCATATGTACTCCTTCAGACTGGTCAACACCTGCCGTTGTTCATCCCTCCAGGCTAGCCTTCCATGGCCTTTTATTGTATCGAAGAATGGTTTGCAGCGGTTCGACAACTTAAAATGAATCGACTCAACGCAGCTATTCGGCCTGTGAGCGCCTGTACTACTTTGATTGTTTTGGGTTCTGCATTTCTGATCAGAGCGTCTGTTTGAGCTGGGCTCACTTCAATTCTCGGTTGTTGACCACGTGCCCCAGAAACTGCCCAGAACCCACGCCGAACGAGCACTTGCTTGGATTAAGCTTCATTCCATATTTCTTGAACACCCTGAACACATCTTTCAAGTGTTCCAAGTGGTCATTCTTCTTCTTACTTTTTACCACCATGTCATCAATATATGCCTCCACGGTCTTTCCCATCTGGTCTTTAAAAATCTTGTTAACCAGCCTTTGATAAGTAGCTCCGGCATTTTTTAGTCCGAACGGCATAACTTTGTAACAGTAAGTTCCCTGCTTGGTGACAAAAGAAGTTTTCCCTTCATCATTCGGGTCCATAGGAATTTGGTTGTAGCCTGAGTAGGCATCCAAGAAGGTCAACCGCTCGTATCCAGTGGTGGCATCCATCATTTGATCAATTTTTGGCAATGGGAAGCTATCCTTCGGGCAAACTTTGTTCAGATTAGTGAAGTCAATACACGCTCTCCATTTCCCATTCTTCTTTTGCACCACAACAACATTGGAGAGCCAAGACAGGTACTGAACTTCTCTAACGAACCCTAAATCTAGCAGACGATCAATCTCTTCAGCTATGATTTGGTTGCGCTCTGGGGCGAACCTTCTCTACTTCTGCTTTACAGGCTTGGCGTTTGGGTCTACATTAAGGGAATGACAGGATACGGAAGGGCTTATTCCTGGTATGTCTGAATGGCTCAAAGCGAACACATTTGTGTTCTGAGTTAGGAAATTAATTAACCCTTGTTTCTCCCCCTTTACAAGTGTGGATCCCAATCGTGTAGTTCGGTCTGGCTTCTCATGATCGATCTGCACGTCAACAAGAGATTCTTCGGTCAGGGCTGAAAGTTACTCCTCTCCATTTTGGTTCGGTGGAGGCTTCTGTAATTACTATCTTGGGCTAGCAGACGGGATGGGTGTTTTTCCCTTTCCAGCAGACTTCAAGGTTAAAGAATAACACTCATTTGCCACGACCTGATCTCCATGAATATCAATCACTCTGTTTCCATCTGGGCCTAAACACCTCATCACTTGATGCAGAGTTGATGGAACACCTTGGACCCTGTGTATCCACCCTCTTCCCATCAAAAGGTTGTAAGATGGATGGATTTCAACGACCACAAAGCTCTCTGTCAGAACTCTTTCAACAGCCTGTACTGTCAATTCCACCATACCAATGGGCTCCACCCATTTCCCATTGAACCCCAGTAACGGATTTCCTGTGGGTTTGAGCTTTTCTGGCCTGATCTCGAGCCGGTCAAACGTTACTTTAGGTATGACATTTGCACTGCTCCTTGGATCTATCAGAACTTTCCGTACCAGGCACTCTGCAACCATCAAACTGACGACTAGCGGATCTTCATGAGGGGTCTGAACACGCAGCAGGTCTGTTTTGTCAAAATTTATTTGTGCGGATGTACTTTGTTGGTGCAGAGCATGCACGCTGCCTATTCTCCTCTTCATTTGCGCTTGGCAGAGACGTGTCCTGAGCAGCTCTTCTGACTCCGCTGTTTTGTTCAGGTTGGCCATGAATTGCATTAATAATCAGAACGGGCTGAGTGCTATGGTAATTTGACTTCTGATTTTTCTTGACTTGCTTTGCCGGTCGGCTCTACTCCTGTGCTGGCCCTTGAATATAAACTCTCCCCTTGCAATCAGCATCTCTACCTGCCTCCTTAAGTTTCTGCATTCATTAGTCTGATGACCAAAGTCATTATGGAAAACACAATGTTTAGATTGATCTCTTTGCTTGAGAGGTTGCTTAATTGGTAATGGAGGGCGAAACTTATCTTTGTTCTCCTGATAGAGCCTTGCCAAAGTGACTTTGAGTAGAGTAACCAACTCCTCCTCTCTGGGCCTCTTCTCTGCCTTCCAGGAGGTCTGACGCTGTGGTGGAACTTGTTTTTACCGGATCTTGGTTTTGGACTTTTCTTCTGTTGAAATAATCGACGTCTTCCATGCATTAGCTACTTCTTCTTCCTCCAAATGCACGAAACCGTCAGCTCTCTCGTTCAGCTCGTCCATGGTCTTCGGCGTATCCACCACCAGGCTTGTGTGGAACGTCGTCCCTCGGTTCATCGCAAGTTTCAACGCTTGCACCGCCGTGGATGGATGACATTCCATTACCATGCTCTTAACGAGGTTGAACCTGGTGAGGAAAGCTTGGAGTCGTTCGTCTTCGTGCTGCTTCGTTGTAAAGAGGCTTGAAACATCTTTGGCTGGGCGCTTATTTCCATAATACTGGCTTATGAATTTGTCACATAAGTCTTGGAAGCCTGCGATTGAACCTTGAGTCAGATTCTTGAACCAATTGAAGGCTGGCCCATCCAAACTCGTAGGGGAGCACTTGCACATCAAATAATCATCATTTGTGTTCAGAGCCATTTTCAACCGAATGTGGTAAATGTGATCGATCGGGTGAGTTGTTCCATCAAACAGAATGAAAACTGGCATGTAAAACTTCTTCGGATTCGGAGCGTTCAGGATCTCATCAGTGAACGGAGATGCAACCGTTTTCGCTGATGAACAGAGTGCTTCATTCTCCCTTGAAAACCGTGGTGGAATCCTCTGATCCGCGGACTTCCTTTCTGAACTCCTGTAATCATACGTTGCCATTGAAGGCCGGTGAACTCTCTCTGCCACGGTGACGCAGCTCCATGATGGCCAAACTCTATAGTCTCATCAAAACCTCAATCTTCCCTGACTTGGATCAAACGCTGCAGCTTCTTCTCGCATGATCCGCTCACGATGCGGATCTAGGTGGATAGATCCCTCTTGATTCTCCATCTGATGGACATTTGGAGGTAAATCGCCTGGCAAGATATCCTCGCGATAAGGATCCACGCGATTGTTTCGCTTCGGATCTCCTTGAGAAACATCGTTGAACTGCAAAACTTCCTCCCCTGCCGGAGGTGGTCGTGGAATGACCAGAGCCTCTCGATGCTTCATTCTAGCCCGCAATTCTGCATTATCTTTTCTCAGGACCTCTATCATGCTCATCAACCCATCGAGCTTCGATTGCTGGCCATTCTCCAGTGGATTTGAGCTCTCTCATCCAATCATCATTCCTGATCGAAGTAGAGTTATTAACCGCAATGTGTGATCAGATTTGAGCTTCGCTAATGCGAATGCACTAGATCTACACTCGAATCAACTGAATTCCGATCTTGATTGACCGGATCTGAACCGCTCCAGCAGCGAGCTGGTCCAATACAATAATCTAAACAAATCTCAACCGTATTAATCAACTAAACAAACACAGATCAGGACTGCGTAGATCAGACGTTAGTCTCTCGGAATCAACTGGAATCAAGACTCTGCAGGATGAATCACAATCTCGCTGATCTGAATTCAGCTTTCAGAAATCCAGCTCTTCCTCTCTGGACTAGCTTTGATCAACTCCGCCTTTATCGAACACAGATCAACCTTCATCGATTCCCACAGACGGCGCCATTGAAGATGCAAGAAATTTTCCCTCTGAAATTAGAAAGAACAATTCTACACTTCAAAGATTTTCCAACCCCTTTTCCCTCTATTTTTAGCCTATTTATAGGCTGCTACGGACCTTCTGGATACTTTCTAACTAATTTCATGCGTCGGGCTGCTTTTTTGGGCTTTTCTTTCTTTATGGGCTCAATTCTTTTAGCCCAAAGTCGGGCTCCCTACCTCATTTCCCAGTCTTGGGCTTGGTCAATGGAGACTTGGTGCAGAATGGTTGTCCTGGTTTATCTCGTTCTTCGTCATTCGGATCGTACCCGCCTAGGTCATTTATGGTGTCTTCACCCACGCTGTCAAGTTCTAGGCTAAGTTTTCTCTTCTGATAGTTATCAAATCCCTCCCTCTTCGTTTTGTCTCTTCAAACAATATTTTTTACCATCTTAACTTGAAGAGAGAAAGAACTTTTAATTATCGAAAAAAAAAACAAAAAAAGAACTTTGATTTTTAAAGTATGGTTGCAATTTCATATCATATATCCTATTCATATATATTTTTATATATTGTATCATATGTGTATTTTTTTTTTTTGGAAGGTAAATATGTGTATTTATTTGTTTGATTATATTGTTCTTCAGTCTTTAAAAAATTTTCAAAGAGATATTAGAGAGAGAAATAGAATGAGAAAAAGAAAGAAAGGAGAGAGAAGGGATGAAAGAGAAAAAAAAAAAGAAGTAGCTTAGCGGGACAGACACGTAATTTCTGCTAAAGTAATCTGTCAAATACTTCGGTTAAAATATCATTTTCCATTAACATAATCTTAACACAGGAATAAAATCAAACCGAATCTCATCTCCTTTTAATGCGAAGCGTAAGAATTTGAAATCCCTCAAAGAACATGCCAGCTAGACAGATATAATGAATATTGCGTTGTGTATATCTTCGTCTTTATACGTCAAAATCCACAAATGGAGTCTAACTCAGTCATGCAATATTACAGCATGGCCTTGAAAGAATCTGAACCTACCTTGATTTCTAAGAATGGACGCAAAGAAAATATTGGACACGCCACATGGAGAGACAGACCTATTTTAGTTACACTTCTACCATGTTGCACGTGCATCCAAGGAATCATATATCTTAATCTGATCCATGCTACGTCAGTGTGATAAATCTTTTATTGTTTTGTGACCACGTGGTCTCCATTTTAGGCTTAGATTTTGGTCACATCATTTCTGGTATGGCATCAAGTTTTATCAATTATTAAAGTTTCATACTTGATCTTTTTTTGTATTCTAATTTTAAAAAAATTTATCTATAATTTTATTTAAGAAGTAAGGGCAAAAAAGATTTTTAATGTAAACTTGGGATAACTTTTTACTTTTTTTCAGTTTCATCATTCTGATTTTCTACATCCAAACAAATTATGCAAGTTGTCCACCGCCATGTTAGTCCAAAAATGAAAACCTGCACTCGTAAAGTAGTTCTGACATTCACTTGCAACTCATCCAATGACTGAAAATTTAAGTCTATAGGATCTCTCTCTATTGCTTATCAGTATGGGTGACCAGAGCCTAATTCAAGTGAAAATTGAATTCAATTCATAATCGGATCAGATTAAGTAATTTTATAAATGGGATTGGATTAATTTCTCAAATTTATCTTTTTTTAAATAGCCCAATTTTATTAACTTTTTTTTGCTTATGTCTCATCTTTCTTGAATAACTCAATATTATTATTTTTAACTATGGCCTAATAAAAGACTTAAAAGTTAGTAGGTCTTATAGGTTTAAAATTTAGTACCGGCTTAGGATTAAAAGTTGGTAAAACTTAATAATAATAAAAAAATAAAGGACATATAAATAGTGTGTATTTATGTATATGTTTTATAAATAAATTTGAACGAGATTGTCCCGGGCTTGGATGAGTTGGTAAGGGCTTGGCATTGGCTCTCACTTAGTCAGTGTTTGAACCTTGCTAGCCTCCATTATCACTCTTGACTTATTTGGTGTATCCTTGGGGCGAGCTTTGCATCCCCAGATTTGTAGCCCAGGGGGTGCCAAAAATTGAATGAGATTGGATTGAGTTTTTAAGATCCCAATTCATTAATTTATGGACTATGAATTCTTTATTTATCAATTCGTAATTGAATCATGAAGTTAAAAAATCAATTCAATCAGTATGGAACGGTTTCACTAATTTACGAATCAAATGAACTACCCTAATTTTCTGGTAGGATGCAAGAAAAAGTGAACGGGGAATAAAGTAGGAGATATGAAAAACATAGTGATAATTTGTGCATTTTAAACAGAGGTCCCAACACACCACAAGGTAAATGTAACATTACTCATGTAATACAGATGAAAAAACCCATGTGAGACATTTATATATAAAAAAAGAAGTAAAACACCCTTGCAACATATTCTATTAAGATTCAACATTACAACATCATTAAATTGAATATGAAATACGTTTAATCTTTGCCCTATCTTTAATTTAATGTGATGTGTCTTTGATGTAACATTATTATCCGGAATCACATCATCTTTGGAAATGTCCTTAAAATAGTGGCCAGAAGTAGAAGAAGGAAAAATAAAATTAAAAATTAAAAAAAAAAAAAGGAAAAAAGAAAAAAGAGGAGGCATAATTTTCTTTTGTATTTTTTTTTTTTTTTTTTTTGCATTTTTGTATTAAAGAATGAAGTTTCTCTAACCTCTCTATTGACCGACTGATAAAAGTCAATTACGTAAGTAGTGGATTGAACGGGCCATTCCTAGTCTCTTTGTCCGCATTCCCTTAAAAGCGAAATTGGTTTGTACTCTATAGTCTCTTTGTCCCATCCCTATCCGTTGCATTTATACATGGCTTAAACTTGAACGAAATCAAAGAACTTGTACTACCATTACTATAAATAAATAAAATGTATCCATGAAATGGCTTTATTACCCCCTTATAGTCCGCCTTTTTCAATCTTCACATGGAGGGTGAAGTTGGGCATTCAAGGCCCTCAAAAGTGTTGGGCATTTGGGCTACTCGGCCCACTCCCCGTTGACACTTTCCAAAGCCTTCTCTCTAGTCTCTATCTATATCAATATTATGTGTTCCAAAATAATCACACGCACGAGGTTCCACAGATCTTAACACACGCGTACAAAATCTATTGGTTAAAAAAAGAAGGGTCTTATTTTCACAAATATCCTCTTGACATGATAGAAAACTCACGTGTACCTGACCTTGTCCGATCAACACTCGCCCTTACAAGGGCATCGAAAATGTAAATACTCTTCTCGGCAGGAGTAGTGTGTGTCTCCAACGCCGTAGTCGCAAGGGCTAATCAACGGTCTGTGAATAATTAGTGTGTGTCTCTCTCTATATTTATACCCTTTCTACGTATATGTATCTATCATCTATGATTCCCAAAGATTCTCGCGAGAAGCAAAGTAGAATTGGATTCGTCGGCGTCTATATTTTGCTTCTTTGCTTGATTGTTCGGTAATGGATCTGCAACTAGGGTTTTAACTTCGGCTAGACCCTAGTTGCGAATATATCACATCATATTTTGACTCGAAAAATGAAGCAGAGAAGCCACCCTTTTCACACTACTAAGCTATTGAAGTATGTTTTGATCGGATTGATTGTAATGCTGGGATTGATTTGTCTGTACTATGGTTCTTCGTTCGCTCCTGGTCTGCCGAGAGCCGACGAGGCTTCTGCCGTAGACGACGGCACTGATCCTGTCATCGGCAGCTTCCTTTTGAAGCAGGACTATTTCCATGAAATCCCAGAAGATCAAGAGCTCAATCCTGAAGTCCGCAAGAGCATACCTGTATGTTATGAATTCAATGAATCACAACATTTATGTTAATTACTCCATAATTGCTTTACATTTCTAACAATGGTTTGTTGTTGTGTTGTTACAGATATGCGATATGCGATACTCAGAATTGATACCGTGTTTGGACAGAAATATGATATATCAATTGAAATTGAAGCCTAATTTGACTTTAATGGAGCACTACGAACGCCATTGTCCTCCTCTGGAACGGCGTTACAATTGCCTTATTCCGCCTCCAATTGGTTACAGGGTTAGTATCAATGTCACTTTTGCTTATTTTGTTTGCTGAGAAAATGTAAGAAGGATATGGAAGTTTAAAGATTCACTTTGAATTGCATTACTTGTGGCCCGAGAATTAAGATAATTGCTTTTCCTCAATTTTAATTGGAGAGCATGAAGTTTTAAATTTGATATATATATTTTTAATTTAATGTAGTTGTTGGAATGACAGATCCCTATCAAATGGCCAACTAGTAGGGATGAAGTGTGGAAGGCAAACATACCCCATACACATCTTGCACAGGAGAAATCAGATCAGAATTGGATGGTTGTAAGTGGGGACAAGATAAAGTTTCCTGGTGGTGGAACCCATTTTCATGATGGAGCTGATAAGTACATAACCTCTCTTGCAGGGGTATGTATTGTTGACTTTAAATCCTATATCCTACATTTAACACCATGTTGATCTTGTTGTTTTCATTCACTAACTGTTCAACTATAATACTCATATAGATGCTTAAGTTTCCTGGTGATAAACTCAATAATGCTGGAAACATCCGGAATGTTCTGGATGTGGGTTGTGGTGTTGCAAGTTTTGGGGCATATCTTCTTCCTCTCAACATTATAGCTATGTCGATTGCACCTAATGATGTGCATGAAAATCAGATTCAGTTTGCACTAGAAAGGGGGATTCCGTCCACTTTAGGTGTCCTGGGGACCAAAAGACTGCCTTACCCAAGTAGATCATTTGAATTGGCTCATTGTTCCCGTTGTAGGATCGATTGGCTTCAGAGAGATGGGATTCTTTTGTTAGAATTGGACAGATTACTTAGACCAGGAGGCTATTTTGTGTACTCTTCCCCTGAAGCCTATTCGCAAGACGCAGCAAATCGGAGGATTTGGAGTGCTATGTATGATCTTCTGAGAAGAATGTGTTGGAGAGTTGTTTCAAGGAGAGACCAAACTGTTATATGGGCTAAGTCACTGAGTAATAGCTGTTACTTGAAGAGAATTCCTGGGACGCACCCACCATTGTGCAATTCTGATGATGATCCGGATGCAACTTGGAATGTGCCCATGAAGGCATGCATCACCCCGTACTCTGCAAGTAAGTGGCATTGGCCATACTGCAAAATAATTTATATTGATAATTTCAACAATTTTTTTGTGCACTGATCTTTTTGATGGATGGTAGATTTGTTTTCTTTGTTCTCTTATTACGGGGGCTTTAAAATGATTTCAGTTATCACACTTTGCCAATAATTGAATCTTTTACTTTTTGCTAATATGATGAGCACAATCAACACTCTGAGCATTAGATTGCAATGACTTTCTTTACCATCCCCTTCTGATGAGTAAGGGAACTGGGATTTAAGGTTGTATTGTTTGTAAGGACTTCTTGTGCCCTCATGCCTCCCAAAACTTGGAACAATATTTTCTTGTAAATCTACTTGTTGCTTCCAAGCAATATAAAATAAGATGAACATGTTAACAACACTTTGAAAGATTTGTAAACCCCCTAAAAATTTAAGGTCTGTGCTCCCCCTGAATTTTTTAAGAAAAATTGGTGTGAGATTGTCCCCAGCGATCGTCCATGGATTTGAGTTTAAGTGAACACCGTACAGTCTGACTTGTGAAAGGTTAAAACTGAATATATGAAGTCAATCAACAATTTTCATCAGTGTGGAGTAGATATAACAAAAGCAATAGTATGAATTTCTATAATAATTTTTTGTGAGAGTTTCCTGTGGGTGAAGTTTTAAATCATTTGGTAATTGTCTGGCTTTAGATTGGCAGTGCAATCTGCAATTTTTGCTTTCGCTTGAAAATGTCAAATTTAAAAAATGTCATTGCAGCTTTACAGATTTTATACGAGGTCTAGGTGGTGGGTGGCGATGCATGCTTTAGGAGCAATTTCACCACTGCTATCACTGAAACCAATATGTAAAAAAGAGAAAAGATATTATTTATATACTGGTGAACTAAAAAATTTAGTCATTGATAAAGAAGTTTGACTTTAGACAATGACCTCATGGTCTTACTTCTTTTAAGATACTAAATTGAAATGTTGAAGACTTGAAGCAAGTCAGGTTGTGCTGATTTGTGCTGTCTCTCTCTGGTTATTTATTTATTTATTTATTTATTTTTTCATTACAGACAATTCATGACTTGAAAATGTCATAATCTCTTGTTTTCCTTTGTGTTTGTTACAATCTAACATGTGATTATTTTAGTTGTTTTTCTATCATTACACAAAATAAAAAACTCTACTAAGCTAGATAGATTGGCAAAATGAGTAATCTCTGATGGATTGTCTGACATTTTTTAAGTTGTATCTGGTGGGTGATTTACTAATTCACTCTCAAAAGTATAAATCATCACAATTTTCTTCGTTGTACTTTGGATGGTTTGAGGGTTGTTTGGAACGTCTAATACTTAAGAAGTGTTGGACACAGGTAGAGAATCCAATTTGAATGGCCTCAACTTCGTCTAACTAATACCTCATCAGAAGTGCCTCAACATCTCTAGTTCCAAAGATTCTGATTATACTCCTATCTTGGTAGTGTCAGTAACAGTTTTTCACACCTAGTTGGCATTGATTTTCGTCTTCATCGTCACCGTCTTCCTCGTTATTCTTTCTCGATTTTACCGGCTTTCTACTACTTCAATGACACAGGGATGCACAAAGAGAAAGGAAGTGGACTGGAACCTTGGCCGCAAAGGCTTACACTGGCTCCCCCTCGACTTAAAGAAATTGGAGTCAGTCCAGATGAATTTCAAAAGGACACTGTAAGTTTCTGGAGTGACTAGAAGACACAGCATGGTGCAGCTGTTTATCTTCATTTTTTTCTTTTTTTCCTCACTTTTTTGGTGTAAACTCACCTTCTAATCACTAAGAGATTCATATATTGCAGAGCATATGGCATTATAGAGTTATTGAGTACTGGAAGCAGATGAAATCTGTAATACAGAAGAACTCCTTCAGAAATGTCATGGATATGAACTCAAACCTTGGTGGATTTGCCGCTGCCCTTAATGACAAAGATGTATGGGTGATGAATGTTGCTCCCATCAATATGTCCTCCAAATTGAATATTATTTATGACAGAGGCTTCATTGGAACAGTTCATGACTGGTATATATTTTTAATCTGTACATGACTTCATGTCTCTCTCTATTATTAATTTGGATCCGAATTATCGATTATCAACTTACCATATATTACAGTTTCTTATTCAATCGACTTGTAAATATTGCTGGATATTCAGAGGCATTAGGTGTCTTAAGTTTTATATTTTAGAGGCTACAGGATGCCTAAACAAAAAGTTCCTTTCCCATCCATTTCTTTGGAAAATTATTTGCCAGTCATCATTAGAGAATCAAGATGAGTCCCCTAAATTGGCTGTATTGAATCCTATAAAGTATGTATACAATAATTTTTTTTCCAAGCGACTCTTCAAAAGAACCAATTTAACACTTGTTTGTCCCAACATCTTGAACATTCCTTGTTTTTGTTTGAAGGAACTATCTGCGTTTCATCTTTTCTTACTTTTCTGCGAGTGTTGTATTTGATATCTTTAAGCTCTAAGTTATGCCATTTTACTTTTTAAGTTGTCAATAATCTGTTGAGTTAAGCTCTAAAAAGGATTTGTTCCTAATGTAATTACAGGTGTGAATCATTTTCTACATACCCACGCACCTATGATTTGCTTCATGCTTGGGCAATTTTTTCAGAGATTAAGGAGCGTGGCTGTAGCACAGAGGATCTACTGATTGAAATGGATCGTGTGCTACGGCCAAATGGGTTTGTAATCATAAGAGACAACCCAGCTGTAATAAACCATATACGGAAATTGCTAACTGCATTAAGATGGGATGGATGGTCATTGGAAGTAGAACCAAGAATTGATGCGCTCTCCTTGAGTGAGGAAAGAGTTTTATTTGCAAGAAAGAAGTTATGGGAGGAAGGTTTTGCCAAGGTGTGAAGCTGCTTTCCTGGTCAGGTACTTTCTTGACCTGTTATATCTCTTCTTGTAGCTCTTTGTGATCATGATGTTCATGATCCCATGCTTATTTGTATGTTTACAGCTTAACCCCATGCAGCTAAGACATTCCTTTTGTTTTTTCCCTGTTAATCATGCCGAGAACGAGTATATCAACAAATAGTTTGATAGTTCTATTTTAATTATATATTTTATTTTATGTTTTATCAGGGCTTGACAGTGCTTTCCTAATTTCTATGCTATTGCAGACCAGTACTTTTTCTCTGTGCTTTTGAAATGAAGATGGGAATACAGCAGATTGATGGGCAATTTTTTTCTTTTTCTTTTGTGAAATATGTAGCCGTGTAGAGAAACATCTGTGAACAACAACAACTGAAGCAAAGCAGCAAGGCTTTCCATGCATATTGGGGGGATTTTTGTATTTATTTTGATAAACTTCCTAGAAACTAATTTTGATTTTAGAGTAAAATCATTAGATATGGTTGGTTCTGCTGTGTCTTATCATGGACTTTTTTGTGCATTGTTTGTATGACTTGACTAACACATGAATTTCAAATTTTCATTTAATAGATATGGCAAGAAGGTTATCATTTCTAATATGCAGGACCACATAAACTGCTCCTTTTGCTTCTGTTATGACATAGCAATGGTTTCGAATGACCGGTGATTAATATGCATAGCTGTTCCATTCTTCGAGTCTATGACCTGTTTAAAACATGGACAAAATCTAGTGAATTTGAAACATTGATCATATGCTAAGCACGGGAAAAAAGAGAAAAAGTGGTTTTGGAGAGACACTAATGTTGTGATTAGGATCACTTAATCGGTACCTTGAATTAGAAATTAAAATCAATTTAGTTTAAAAATTTAACAAAAAAATTGCAATTTTAAATTTAAACTATTAGGCTAAATAAATGAAAAACTCTCTTGCGACTCATCTTTTTATTGTTTATTTTATTTTATTTTGACCTGAAATAACCCCCTTTTTATTTTTTTGATTTACTAGAGGCGATTTTAACGGTAGTTATCATTCTACTGTCAACCTACCCCTCCCCTTTCGTCTTCCAAGCATTATATTCCTTTAGAATTGATTTGGTTTACTCCTATTTTGTTTTAGGTGCTAGGTGGTGTTTCGAGTATTCTGTAAGTTGTAACGTTATCAAAACAATATGATCCTATTCAAAGAGAGAGTACCAAATAGGATCATATATATATATATATATATATATATATATATATGTATTATTTTTTAAACTCAGAAACAATAATTCTTGGAAAATATTCAATAAAAAAAATGTTTTTTTTATGTTAAATAACCTGATGGAGTCTTTTATCTTTCTGTACTTCTAAATGCTTCTCAAGTCTCAACAAGAATATTTATAAATTTATTTCTTGTCAGATGGGCTTCTCAACAAAAATATTAAATCGAGTAAACAATTCTAAAAAGAAAAAAATATTAAATGGATCAGTTTAATTCAAATTCTTAGACAAAAAGAAGAATTTCACTATTAATATATTTTTTCTACACGTAGAAATATATTAATATATTACAAAAACATCTTAACATTAATTTTTATTAAATTAGTCCACCAACTAATAAACTATTCATCTTTGTATTTCACTTTATTTAAGTCTTTAATTTTTGGGGCATACGCAAATTAGACATAAGATAACAAAACTGAGTAAGTAGTTAAAATATAAACGCTCGACACGTGAAACCATATAACACATGCGTGTGTTCCCGCTAATTCCGTTTCATTCCAATCTGAGTTTATAAAAGTAAAACAGGACACTCTTTCGCCGATTCACTCTCTTTGTATTTACCCTCAGAAATTCAGATAACATAAACAAGAGAGCTGTAAAGATCTTCAATTCATCTATCGTCAAAGGTAACCCCTAAACTAGTCCTTCTAGATTCTTGATTCTTGATTCCTGAATCGCATATATATATATATAATGCATGTATTTATGTATTGAATCTATTGATCATACTGTCATTGTCATTGTACGAGGATTTTCTGAATAATTTGAAGATTAAAATTCCGATTGCAAGATATCATATGAGAAGAATCTGGAAATCAAGATCTTGTATTAATTTCCTCTTTTATATCTTGCTGCGCTTTGTTCTTCAATTCTCTATGCGCCATTTTCTTTTCCTTATATATATATATATATATATGTTAATTGGAATATTGATCTTTCTCAGCATTGATTTTCTTTTTGATTCCGATGTCCTTTTGAATAATGTGACATCACTTCGTGATATTTTGGGCGAATTTTTAGTATAATTTTTGTGGTTGATTGTATTAAGGGATGAATGAGGGTACATTTGTTGTATCACTCGATATTAGTGATTAGGTGATGTTATACTTGGCACATGAGTTTGTCACCTACTGGAATATAATGATTGATACCTCCTCCATCTTCATGTTTGTCAGATGATGGATTCAGCAGCGGTGGATGCATTGACTAATGGTGTCAAAGATCATCTCTCACCCCAATCGAATGGTGCCCCAGAACAAGTTCCACATAAGCAACCATTCATAATTGGTAAGGCCATTTCGCATTCAACTATTTTGAAGTGATTACATCATCATAATTATTCTTCTTTGTGAGTTCACTATCTGAATGTTTAGCGAAGAGAAATGAGATTGCAGTGGAAAATTTTATTTGCAGGAAAAAAAAAAACTGTATATTTAGTTTAGTGTATTTGAAAAGACAGATGACTAAGATATGGTGAATTCAGGAGGGAAAGGATGGTATTTTGTAGGGTGACAAATTTGGGTTTCATTGGGGTTGGTTGCTCAAAAACAATGCTTTTGAAGATTATTTGATCTTGTCACACCATGGTTGTTGAATCTTATTGAAACTAGTTGAATTTACAAGGTTCGAACCTGCTCCAAGTTGTGATTTGTGGTCAGAAAAAAATAGATTTTCAACTAAGAGACAATCCTGGTAGTTTCTCCGAAAATTGTAATATATATTTGTATTCCTAATGTGAGAAATTAAATTTTGTTTGGTTTATTCCATGAATTTCCCTTTTCTACTCGGATTTTTTTTTTTTTTTTTGGGGGGGATTATTTGATCAATGTGCTTGTGGTTTGATTGATTGGTGAAGCATGTAATTTTACTTTGGGCTGGTTAATTCTCATTATATCATCATTAGTGTCCTTTAATTTAGACATTGGTAATTTTACTTTGGGCTGCTCCAAGTAGCTCTTTACTATATGTGGAGTGCCTTAATTCCAGTTGTCTATAAATTCTGTATCCACTCTTACAGAACTAGCATATGTAGTTTATGACTTCGACTTAGAAGGATTGAATGGTTTCAGTTTTCCAACTTCACTTTAGCTAAGATGATGATACGGAATAGACAAAAAAGATTTCAAAGCAGGATTTACTTTTGCTGGAGTTAGATGCAGCATATTTGAAAATTAAAATCAAGGAATAGGTTACAGTGATCCGTCTAAATATAGGAATTCTTATGATAACACATAGGTCAAATAATAACTTTAGGAGGGAATGAGAAAAAACTAGTTGACTTTTATCCAACTCATTTGCTTGTGATGATTTTTTAATTTATTTTGGTATTGCTATAATTAGTTCCCTGTAATTTTTTTTTTGGATATCCATCTTTTTTTCATTAAATTGGGGGATATGTTAAAAGGAATGGTTGCACTTTTTTGAACTTAGGTGTTGCTGGTGGGACTGCATCTGGCAAAACAACTGTTTGCAATATGATTATTTTGCAGCTCCGTGATCAACGGGTTGTTCTTGTCAATCAAGTATTTCCTTGTCTCTCTTTTATCTGTTAGTAACACTAAAATCAGTACTAACTTCTTATATGAGCTCGGGAGTGGGAAAAGGCATGCTACACTCACTATTGCAGTGCTTTTATGAATTTGATTGGTGGATTTTTTGGTAACTGCCTAAATATACGATACTTCAAAAGCGAATTGGTACCACTTCCAGTATAACTTCAGTGGATTAAGATTTACGGGGAAAAAACTTAAGTGGATTATGACTGCAATATAGGTATCTAGAATCCCATTTCATCCAAGCTGCTCTAATTAAATGGGAAACATTTTACTTTTAGTGCCTAAAGTGGCATGTGGGCCCTTGTTGTCAATTTTTTGGTGTGCAAGGTCTCTATAGTAGTATGGTAAAAAAATCGCCTTTTACGCTCAATGTGATCTCCTTTTAACCAAATCACAGCACACTAATTGCATCAGAAAATTAAGCTCCACTATAATTTTGGTACACTGCAGATTTGGCTTCCTAAGTCCCTGATAAGGCCAGCAGCTTCACAGGATTCTACAAACCAACTGTTCCAGTAAGAGAAGATAAATGTCTATTTTCTTGGGTTTTCAAGGAAAAGATGCTTCCCAATCTAATAATGGTATTTGATTGGAGACACTCATAAAATTTGAGCTTGCCGGAACAGTGAGTTTCTTCCTCTGTTTCATCTGGATCTAAGAAATCAAATTTTCTATTGACTCTCTCATTTTTCTCCTCCAATTAACCTAAGTTATGGTGAAGAAAGCAATTCCCCACAACTACATCATTTTCGAATGAAATATTGACAGCCCTCCATAGGATAAATCTATAACATAATGGTACTTTATGTGCTTATAAACTTCTCATCCGCTAAACAACTACCATTATCTTGATTATCATCGTCATTTGGACCTCATCATAAATCAAGTTAAGCATTACCTCTACAGTTATGAACTATATATATAAATATAGGAGGAAAAAAATATATCTAATGGGGCTTAGTGCTTGAATATCAGTTCCAGTGGAATCTGTCAACCAAATATTTTTTGCATTTGAATATTGGACAAGAACATGAAAGGAAAAAAAGACAAAATAAATTTGAAATGTATGAAGAAAATCGTGAAAATTAGAAACTTCTTGCTTGTGCTTCTCATCACATCTAGTCCCTTACCATCAAATGTGTAATTTTTTATCTTTTCAGCTGTCAATTCATTCATAAAATGCATGAATTCGTTCTTAGTTTGTATATTAAGATCATCTTGGTCACTTGATGCATTGATTAGAATTTCGTGATTCTCACGTAATCTTTGTAGGATTCGTTTTATCACTCGTTGAGTGATGAGCAATTGGAAAAAGTCCACGAGTACAACTTTGATCATCCAGGTAAATGTCTTTTGTGGAGTCTTTAATCTATAATATAATGGCATGATCTGCATAGAATTCAGATATCATCTGATGCACTTATTGGGTTATAGACATCTACATCTTTTTCGAATTTGACAGTTCATGTTATGAACGTTTTCCAGATGCCTTCAATACAGAGCTTTTGCGTTTATGCATGGAAAAATTAAAACATGGAGAGCCAGTTAACATCCCAAATTATGATTTTATGAGCCACAAGAGCACTGAACAAGCACGCAAGGTACAATCATTCATTTGTTCAAGTTGGATTCCGTAAGTGTAGGAGATTCGGCAGATGTTTGGACTTTTGAGATGATCCTTATTTGAGCTTGAGGAATAATAATTTCAAAGCTCTAGTAGGGTCACAATTTTAATCAAGCATTTTGTCACTGACCTGAACTATGAAGCCACATTGCTGATTATATATAGTACCTTTTTTTACGTTTTCATGCAAATCATTTGAGAATTAAAATGGAAACAGAGTCAGGAATGATGATTGAAACAGTAGTAATCTTTGACGTGTAACAATGCAATTGAACCTCATTTCTTTGATTTATAAATTTTTCCTTCTGTCACTGCAACATCTCCGTCTTTTGATGATTTTATAGAAGTTCCAAAGGAAACAAATGATTGTTTCTTTTAATCTAATGTAGGTTAACCCCTCAGATGTCATCATTGTAGAAGGAATTCTAGTTCTTCATGATCCTCGAGTCCGTGATCTCATGAACATGAAGATCTTTGTTGATACAGGTTATTTATCTTGACCCTTCGTGTTTTTAGTGTGATTGATCTTTTATATCCATGCATCAGATTTGTATTCATTTTTGTCAGTCACATAAAAGTTAGATAAAAAAAAAATTCATGTTCAGTTGTAAATATATTTAAAGCTCAGAAATATGTTTTAGGAGGATGTTGACTTGGTTTGACCATGTCTTTTGGCATGGTGTGAAAAAACATTAGTCTGGTAGATATAATTTTTTTTCTTTGTTTTTTCTTAATTAGTCGTGACATACTCATTTTATGTGATCCTTTTGTCAACTAATGCTTTTATTGCTATTTTCTGAAGGTCAAGAAGTGCTATAAATCCAAAGTAAACCAATAAGTTCATGAAGTATGGTGGAATAGTAATTCTATAGTATGAATGCTGGTTTCAAAATTGATTGTGTTCCGGTCAAAGTTGAAATGAAGTTGCGGAACTTCAATCTTCTCCTTGAAATACTGGACCTCAAAATTTAAAAATTGAAACAAGTCATAAAAGAATAATCGGAATGTGAAAAAAGTGTCTGCACACAGATGTGACAGACTCAAATCAAAGCAACTTACTAAGATTCACTCAAGAAATTTTCATACAGTGGCATTCCATTCTTATTTCATATCATCGAGATCCACTCCAAATGGGTACTCGACAAGAGTAGGTCGGCTGGACCATAAAGAAAATTTTCAAATACAATGTACAAAGGTACTCGTGATGGTAGTGGCATACAAATTATGAAACAGAACATTGAAACCAAACAAGTTGACTTCAATTTAGGATTTTGTACATGACAGTAATATTTCAAAAACAGAATACTGCAATCGTGGTTAGAAGGGGGAACTCATTTCCCCCTTGCCAGATAACTCCATGAAGCAAAATCTAATACGTGTACTTTCTTGGAGTTTCTGCCTCCTGTTTACTTTTTCATGTAGGTAAAGATAATATTTGCGAGTCTCCATTGACAATATATTATATTAGCATGGATACGAGAGAGCAGGAGATTGTTCCCATATTAGTTTCTAAATCCTGCCTTTTCCTAGTGATCATACAATTATCTTGCTTTCGCACCCCACGCGTGCGTGCAGACACACAAATAAAAATAAAAAGGAATAACAATTCTTTAAATTTGAGTTTCAGAACGAAGAAAAATTTAGAAATTAGTCCACAATTAATCTATAACATAGTGTTAGAGAGTGATTCTTCAACCACAGGGAAAAGATGAAAAGAATTTTTGCTTCTGTATACTTAAAATTCCCTCTCGAATTACATAAAGCAGTATCTATAAGAAATAGCAATAGATTTTTTCCACCCTTTCTACCTTCCCCCCCTCTCTGTTTGTGGCTTCTTATTCTATTCACAGAGACCTGGGTAAATTTTTATGATAAGTAATGTAGAAAGGTGAGGGACTTTCCCCAGCATTTGGAAAAATAAAATCCAAGATGATGGCTTTTAAAGGACAATGTGATGGGAAGGAGAAGGCTCTTTTGGATTGAGGAAGGATGTTCAATATTTATTGTTTTCCCCCAGTTGTTTGTCATAAGTGGAACATATTTTGCTCCCCCTACGCTGTCCTTCTCTTTTCTTGTGGTTTATATTCTAGCCAAAAGTTAGTTTCCTGATTTGCAGGCTCAATTGCAATAATTTTGTCAAGTTTGGTCCCTTAAGCAATAACCATCATTACAATTCACCAGTGCAGATTCTGATTTGCGGCTTGCAAGAAGGATACAACGTGACACTGTTGAGAGGGGCAGAAACGTTCAAAATGTGCTTGATCAAGTCAGTTGACTTCTTAAATTTTATTATGCGCAAGTGTTTGTGGAGATTATTACTTTTTTTTTGACCATTTTTGCTGTTTTAGTCTCTCATAAGGAGATAACATGTGCATTATTTATTTGCAAATTAAGGAGTGAGCATTGCAATTCTTTTGTCGTGCTTTTACGAGTTACTCATGCATGTTGTATTGCTTATAAATGTATGACCTGGTGTTCCAATTGCAAAGCGATGTGAAAGGGCAAAACACAATTGCCTGCTAGTTGGGGCCTTTCCCCTTGATGCTAACCAGGTCAACCATATCTTTGATTCTAAAAATTATTGTGCTTATATTTCTTAAAGCTGAAGCATATAGGTGATTCCCGTTTCCCGCTCCTCATTGGATTTTGAAATGTATGAGATCTTATAATGCCTTTGAAGATAAAAGTTTCATCACACTGCTGTCTTCATACCTTTTGTTCGCCTTGGTAAATGTGGTTTTGTGCTGTAATAGTATACATGGCTGTTATCCATGAACCCTTTATACACAAATGGCTGCAATGGCTTAGCTGTTCTTCAAAACTATGTTCAGGCAGTGCACACCGAGATTGGCTGTTTGTAAGATACTCAGTGATTATGCGGCTCCTTTTTATTCATTTATTTATTCTTATGATATGTTAAAATTGGAAAAATGAGAACTAATAAAATTGGCTGCAATGGCTAGAGCTGCATGCTTTTACTGCTAAAACTTATAATACTTCACGTTATAGCCAGCTACATACCTAGTTTTGAAATGTCTGCAGTTAACGATGGTTGTTATACGTTTAGTAGATTCTCATCAGTCTATGCTTTAATTCTCTTTCTTTTAACAGTTTCTTACACCATTTTCACAATTTGATGATGCTGAAATTTTATGAAGTTCAACCAATATCTTTCTTTGGAACAAGAAACTTATTGCAAAACGTTGATTGAGATATTACTGTTTAAACTGTAACATTATCGTTCTATTTCATTATTATTTATTTATTTAGTTTCAAGTGTTTCTCATATTGTACTCTTCGTTGCAGTACGCTAAATATGTAAAGCCTAGTTTTGAGGAATTTATACTCCCTTCAAAGAAACATGCAGATATCATCATCCCTCGAGGAGCAGATAATGATGTTGCAATTGACTTGATAGTACAGCATATTCATACAAAGCTTGGCCAACATGATCTGTGTAAAATATATCCAAATGTTTTCGTTATCCATTCGACATTTCAGGTAACAATTTAACTCATATTTGATTGTGACTTGAGACTTGAGAGGCTTGCGACAGAGCCTTCTTTCCTGACCTGCAATTCCTGGAGTTTTTGAAGGATGAAACGATGAATTTTTAATTGGCATTTTCTTTTGTCCAGATACGTGGGATGCACACACTTATACGCGATGCGAAAACAGCAAATCATGACTTTGTTTTCTATGCAGACCGACTTATTCGCTTGGTATTATAGCTTCAAATAGAAAGAGATCTACTAATTATTAATTCACTTATTTTCTTGGCATGATTTAATGCATAGTGGTTTTGAATAAATGTTTTAGGTTGTGGAGCATGGTCTAGGTCATCTTCCTTTTACTGAAAAACAGATCATTACTCCGACAGGTAACTCTGCTAGTATCATTTCTCCTTGTTCCATTGGAGAAAGATACCACCATCTATGTTTCTCTGTATACAATAAAAGTTTACAAAGAAGGTGCCAGCTGGCCTACTAGTTAAATTTCTAGGTTGCAGTATTAAATTTGAGGGTTTTGAATCCTAAGTTCATTTACTTATTTTTTGTTGGGGGCTTCACGGGTATATGATGGCTTATTCCCAATGGGTTTTCGATTGTCACCTTCACTCTTCAGACCTGAAAAAATTAAATAGAAAATAGAAATGAAGTTAACAAGCATTATGGGTTTCTAATTAAATGTTCCCTCAAGACTTCTTTCCCCACATGTATCTTGGCATTTACTTGCAGTCTGTATTATAACACTGAATTTATGCAGATTCATTAATAAGCACTTCTGTTGGAATTGGCGGAATAATTTCTGCTGCCTTTTTTACTTGCTTGCAGGATCTGTATATACTGGAGTGGTTTTCTGCAAAAGGTTGTGTGGAGTCTCAGTCATTAGAAGGTATTCATTTTAGTAACCCATTGATTTGTGAGTGAAAATAACTCGTATCCAATGATTTCGTGTGTTAAACCTTTCGTGGGTTAAAGTCAGAAGTATATCTGCGTGTGTTTGTTGCCAGTCACATTACACACTAGGACTACGTAACATAATCAGTAAAAAAAAAAGATGAACAACTTAAAAGATTTTTACTCCACTAGATTGTCGATTGTCCTCCATAAAATGGGGTGTCCAAATTCTCATTTTAATTTCGATCTAGAGAGCAAATCAATATTCCTCATGCCAAAGTGAGCTTTGATGTTATGAAGGAAAGAATAAAAATATTTAAAGTTAAATGAAACATGAGATATATGAACAATGATGTTCGTGCATAAAAAATTGTTCTATAAATAGCAAAGAATTGGATTTTAATTACTTTGTATTTTAACAAGCATCTTTCAGATCTGATAATGTTTCTCTTGAAAGATCACCGCAAAAACATAATCCTTGTACAATCGAGGGAAACTACCATACTATTCTGTAGTACAGAAGCATCAATGTCTTGTCATTGCAAAAGGCGTACTATCCTTGTTTCATGGAGGAGAACTTAGTCATATAGCAGTTGTTAGTCTTTTCAAAAATGCAATAAATAAAAGTTTGTGAATATTTTAATTGGTAATGCTTTTTATCTGCACTCTTGAAGAGAGCAGAGAGCAGTAGTGAAAAACATTTGTTTTGACAGGAGAGTGCCTTGTCCCATGAGTTGAAGCCATCCCGTCTTACATAAGAAATAATTTTGTTGTTTCTTCTATTGTTGTATGTAACTACTTATTTCAAGTTAGTCTGAGTGGAACAAGTGAATGAATACTTGCACCTCAAATTTCCTGACAGTGGAGAAAGCATGGAGAATGCATTAAGAGCGTGTTGTAAAGGAATCAAGATTGGTAAAATTCTCATCCATGGAGAGGGTTACAGTGGTCGGCAGGTTCGTGGAAATTACTAAAAAGTCCCACATGCCTCTCTCTCTCTCACTCTTTCTCTCTCATAATTCGTCATTGGTACAACATTGCCGCAGTTAATCTATGAGAAGCTGCCAGCAGACATTTCAAGCCGCCAAGTGTTATTGCTTGACCCTGTTCTGGCTTCAGGTTTGTAAGTCTCGAGCCTAGCATACTTGTTCCAAATGTATGCTCTATAACCTTTTCATTGCCAGGAAATTCTGCCATCAAAGCTATATCTTTGCTGCGCAGCAAGGGTGTACCAGAATCTAACATCATCTTCCTTAACCTCATTGCAGTGAGTCAGACGTTTTACCTTTGGTCAAGATTACAATTTATCGAGAAATTGTGATTCTTTTCCTTCTAAAATTCTGAATTATGATGCAGGCTCCTGAAGGAATACGTGCTGTTTGTAAGAAATTTCCACTGCTGAAAATTGTAACATCAGAGATTGATTTGTCACTAAACAAGGATTTACATGTGATCCCTGGTATGGGGGAATTTGCGGATCGCTATTTTGGAACTGATGATACTACTCCCTTGACGCGCCAGCATAGCAAAGAATTGTGAACTTTAAAGATGCTTAATTTTTTCCTTCTTTTTTTTTTTTTTTTTTTTACCAACAATTCTTTGCTTTATTTATTTGTTGAGGATGAATAAGCTCTGTTCAACATAGAATCTCTGTGGTTCTTCACCTTAACTAACAAACGATGGTTTTTTAGGGGAAAATTTTGGAGGCAATAATATTGGATGTTTCAAATTGAGAAGAAAATGAAGGATTTTCTTAAGAACCTTTATGGTTTTAACAGTCATGCCAGCCAGATCATGTTGATTGGCAAATAAGATGGTAGTTTTTTTTTGTTTTTTTAATTTTATTTATTTATATATATATACTATCAACTTTCCAAAACCTACTAATGCAAGCTACACCATATCTCTATACTCGCCAGTATCACCTTTAGCCACACATCAATTCTTTGTCTTGCAACGCATCAAATAAATGATTAGAGTCACCAACGGGCAGTAACCTAACCGGACTTCTTCCCTCTACCTTCTAAGGTGATGGGTTCTTAGAGGTGGCAATATTTGACATGATATGTTAACACGTCACGAGATAAGAGGGTTTAAATTTGGACTAATCGTGTTTGTGTTGTAATCGTGTTGATACAGATTGACTCGTAAATTAAACGTGTCGTATTTATGTTTGACTCTACTAAAACGATTATGACACGATTAACTAAACGTGTCGTATATCGTATTTAATAAAAATGACCCATTTAACTAAACGTGTAGAATAAATGTGACGTACTTATCAAAAATGACTTAAATTTTTTCGTATCATTTCGTATCGTGTTACACGTATAATAATCGTGTTCGTGTCAAAGGGTCTTGACACGATTTATACTCGTGTTTTGTTCATGTTGACACGAACACAATCCGTGAACACAGATTGCCACCCCTTCGGTTCCCATTTTAGCAAAGTGCGAGCACGTGAGTTTCTTAACTAGTCAGCGCCGTAAATGATAAAGTCAACTGCCTTATCAAACAGTGGACTTCTTAACCATAACTACAACGTGCAAGTGTATATACATATATATCATACAAGCTCATCTATCGAACGCCCTCGAGAACAAAACTGGGAAGGAAAATAAGGAAAGGAATAATTCTTGGATTTATGATCATACAAGCTCATCTATTGAACACCCTTGTGAACAAAACTGGGAAGGAAAGTAACAAATTGCATCTCTTTCTTCAATTGTACTGAAGAGGAATAATTCTTGGATATTAACTCAACAAATAGAGCCCACAACCTTCCCCTGTTCCCCTATCTTTTTTATTCTAACAGTACACTCAGTTTCAAAGTAAAATGATCTCAACAGCACAGTTTGCGGTTAAACAGTGTCCAAAAATCTTTCATCTTGGAGCTTTGAAGCTCAATATTTTCACCTTTATCATGTGGACTTGGTCTTCTTCTTCTTCTTCTTCTGTGAGGCAAAGTTACTAGGTCCAATTTCTATGGACATTCGCTTCGTCCTGAAAAGCAAAGAAACAGTTAACTAAACACCCTAGAGTATAAATATGCATGTTTACTCAAAGCAAAAGCCAAAAAAAAAAAGACACAGCAGAGAGGAATACCGCTTGGAGAGTTCCCCTGCATTACCGTTGCCCTCTTCAGTTGCAGCATCTGATGAAGAAAATCTCATCAAAATTCCAGAGAACAGGTTCAAGAACAGAACCAGATAAATAATAAAGTGCATTTCAACAAGACATCAGAGGAGAAAAGTGAAGGCCAAAATCCTAGAAGTTGAACAATTTAGACAGTCGCAAAAAAAAAATATATAAATAAATAAAAATAAAAATAAAAATCTGACACTCCTTTGAGTCAACTTAGAACTGTAACCTTGATCATGCTGCTACAGCTAATTAAACATGACCCCGAGTTTGGCACTAACTAATGAAATCTATGGCTGTTGCATCAATAATCGTTCTTTCCTGATCAAAGTGTTGAGCAACGGAGGGAGTAACCTTTTTATAAGGTACCAAGTTCACCAGTGAGATTTTTCAACTGTTCGCCTTCGGAAAAATCTTGTTATGCTTGATGAGAGAAATTCATGTGATCTTTCTTTTGATGAAATCTTTGGAAAAATAAATGGGTAATGGAGGAAAATGTTGAGGATGGCTTTACCACGTTAAAAATCTGCAGAATGCAGATCAGTGTAACATGACTTCTAAAAATGTGAAGTACTTGTCACAACACCTCTGTATGGGTATAGCACGTGTTCAACCTGGTAAGCATATTTGAAAATTTAATAATTACATGATTGTATATAAAAATCGTTTTTAATATTGTTTTGTTACATAATTACTTCAAAACAAGTGAAGTGCCCATACTAAACACTTTATGTACATAAAACGTTTTATCTTAAAAATATAAAAGAATATAGAAAATAGTAAATACTTGCTCATGTTCCCACATCCTTGGATTTGGAGACATGATAGATATGACAGTTCCCACACCCGTCAAGCTCGTGACTTTACTGAATCCGTATAAATTCTCTTCCTAGCTATGTTACAAAAACTCTGGAACGTGTGTCGGGTGAGGGTATTATATCCACACGTCCGATGTGTCAAATCCCCAAAGAAAAAGACACATGGACACTACTACATATTTATATTATTTAATATTTTTTTAGGTAACATAATGCCTTCACTTAACGTTGTCTGCAATATTGGCATTTCACTCATTTTGAAACAATAACATAATAAAATTGAATTATTGGATATGGTTTTTAAGTGCATGTCCAACCAACACATATCCCATACCCATGCCCGAGCAATGTGTGTCGAACACGGGTACTTCAACTACTGTTGAAGAGTCTATGTAACAAGCTTTCTAGGGATCATCCAATGAGATAAGCTATCCATGTGTCAATCTTAAGAAAACCATTAGGTGAATATCTGAGGCGCACAGTTTTTAAATATTTTATTCATCATATTTACAAAATTTGGTGAAGAACTGCGCACAGTTTTTAAATAATCTGAGGAAGAACTGCATATTCAAATTCTTAAAGTTACATTATATAGATCGATCATAATATGGGTAATGATCATTCAACTAGATCAAATATAAAGTGCTATTGTTGGAATCATACCTGCGCCGTTAGCATGTTCAGTTCCTTCATCATCTAGGTCCAAAGGATCTCCCATTGGAGGAATCCAGAACTCAGCTTCTTCAGAATCACTGTCCTTGTCAGAAGATTTCCTTACTTCGAGGATAACTTTACCAACATTCTCCTCTGCTTTATTTTTCTTTTTCTTTTTCTTCAAACCATCTGCTTTTGGCTTTGATATTTTCTGTGGTGTTTGCTCACTCTTTTCTTCTAGTATTCCATTTGGGGTTAGCTTTTCAGCTTCCATTTGCTCTGTTAAAATGTGTTATCAATAAGGTATATGACTAACACTAAAAGGTTCCATGAATTTTTAGCAGAAGGGCACAAACCAGATAAACAAAGAAAGAACACAGACCTAACTTGTTGAGGAACCGTCTTCCATTAATATGCTTCCATATATGCTCCTCAGATTTATTGACGGTATCTCCTGTTAGCTTACAAATTAACTTCGAACTAAAAAAAAAAAGCCCACACAGGAAAGATGTATCAGTGGTACACTCACGCGAAAGAAAAAGGAAATAGAAACACAAAAACTCTTGACGGGTAGTATTTTCTAGAAAGGATTTGATTATCCAAATTGGTATTTCTCAATGCTGCTAGGAAATAAGTTTACTATCCTATAAATCAAAATACGAAATGTCAAGACTATTCACCAATTCAAGACCCTATGAAGACTTATACCTGAACCTGACAGTGTGTGATAGGCTAATATAACAATTGGCTCAGTTAACATGACATTCCACCTCATCACAAAGTTCAAAATTTTCACAACAGTTTAGTTTCCCCCATATATTCGAGGCCTAGGTAAACTCCCTGTTACCTTAACATTCAAAATTTTGTGCAAATCAAAAGTTCAGAAGATATTTCCACCCAAACAAACGGTCCGGTCCCAAAAGCATCTTCAGAGGCTAATTAAGAACGTCTTAGTTAGTAAAAAACATCTCTTTACAATACAGTAGTACAAAATTACAAATTTACAAAATTACAGGGTTTGCTAATCATTGACAATTAAAAATTAAAAATCCATAACGATTTTAAAAAGAAGAGGGTTCTGCTTCAGCATGTTGATATATATATATATCTATGCGCGTGTGTGTAATTAAGTAATTATGTATTAATGTGCATAAACCCTAAACCCTAGTTAGAGGGAAGAGGAAGAAGGGGGTGTCATAATTTACCGGTTGTTAGGGTCTTGCTGAAACATGTTGAGAGGGGGCTTTCTATGGGCCAAAGCGGCGTCGATGAGACCCATCCGGCAATGCTTGCTCTGGGCGTACGAATCCTTGGCGTGGGCCGGCAACTCGTGGCCAGTCTCTACGCATTTGAAGCGGCCATTCTCCAGCTCTTTGAAGCTCGGTGGGCCCAGTAGGTTTCGCCCTTCCTTTCCCATCTCTTCTTCTCCTCCTTTCTTCGCCATTGCTCTCCGCTGTCTCTTCTAGAGAGAGAACAAAACGTAGGGCAAATTAATTTGCTAGCTCGCTGGCGGTAAGTGAGGCCAAAGAGGAATACGGCGTCGTACCATCTTGGCTCAAAACTTGCCAAAACGACGACGACCCACATAATATTATGGTACCATAAAATATTTCCAAGTTTAAAAATTAGCTTTTCCTTTTTATAAAAACGGAGTGAAACCCAAAATATAAAACCTCAGCAACCAAAATTTTAATTTATGAGTACAAATAATTATCACATTCTTTGAATAATTTTGATTCTGATATTGATGAGATAAAATTATTTTTAAAGTTACAAGTTTTAAAAGAAATTTTACCAAAATTTTTACAAAATAAGGTTTTATATTTTGGGTTTCACTCGAGGTTGGGCATAAGTCCTTTCTAAAATTTAAATGAATGTAAACCAGTTAAATATAATTTTTTTGAAAAAAATTATTTTGCATGCACATGAGTCCAACGATAATATAATAATAAAATAAATTAGTTTCTAATTTTAAATTTAAAAAATTCTTTTTCTTTTGAAGGTAGGGAAGGAAACAATTATTGTTATTACATATATAAATTGATATTATAAGTAACTAGATTTATTGTCAGATTATTTTTTATAAAAATTATTTATTGTCATAAATTTACATTGTGTTTATGAAAATTATGAACCGAAATAAATATGTGTTTAGCTTTTAATTAGTTATGCTTTTATGTAGGATTATGAAAAATAGAGATATACTACTAGGATAATGCTTGGGTCCTCCGTCTAGGGGTATGAAGTTCATCTTTCATATGATGTGATCCAATATTATTGGAACATGTGTCTTAAAAATAAACAAAAATTAAAGATGGGCATTCCCCATTTTTTATGAGTTAAACTGGTTTTTTTTTTTTTTTTAATCTTCCTTCCTTTCTCCACAGCAAAACAATTATCTCTCTTCTTCTCCTCTTGATCTCATAGAGTCACAGTAATGCAAATCTCAATTAACTAAATAAAGAGATAAAACAAAAACTCAAAACTTTGTAGAAAAGAGTAAATAAATAATCACTCATTGTCCAAACTTGCTACATAAATAAATAATTATTTTCAACTTAAAATAATCATTCAAATTTTAGTAAAGAAAAAAAATATATCAAAATTCTATAGAAATCATAGAAGAAATAATAATAATAATAATAATAATTATTATTATTATTATTATGATTATTATTATTATTTTGCCATTATCATGTTTTGCAACAATTCTATTAATTTTTGTATTTATGATTGTCTATATGTAATATTGGATTGCTAGGTATATTGTCCGATAACTAAGTAATAAATAAACAAATTATACATTAGATCGATACACACCGAGTTATTGACTAAAACTTTTAGGTTTTTAAAAGTGTGTGTGTGTGTGTATATATATATATATATATATAGTTTTATAATTATAGTGTTTCGTGTGAACTTAAGGTTTTAAAATGGAGATAGACAGCCATGAGCAGCGGAGGAAGGTGGTGGCGGCAAGAAGTGCAGGATGAAGACTAGGGTTTGTGATGGTGGTTGAATATGGAGATGGAGAGAGATTTGCTCTGTTGTGAAGAAAAAGAGGAAAATTGATCGTGTTACATAAAAATAAAATAAACTAACAAACAAACAAATGTTTAACATGTGAAAAATGGGCAATGATCATTTTTAATTTTTGTTTATTTGTTAGATGCATGTTTCAATAATATTGGATCATGTCAGATGAAAGACCCAAGCATAGCTCATACTCCTATTATATTAATGATTCTAAATTTGAAACCCTTTCAAATGAGATCATCTGTGTCCCCTATGCTCATAGCAATTGGGGTAAATTGCAACCCATGCCATGTAGTGATCGGCATTCGTGTATACAGTGTAAATAGTTCGTCTGATTTTATAAAAGGAGCAAAAATTTTCTACTCTTCAAGAAAATTTAAACTTTATTTTGGCAAAATTACAAAAGAGGAGAGAATGCAAACATACCTTTACAGTGACTATTGAACTAAAAAAAAACCTACCCTATTTTATAGGCAATTACTGTAATTAACTTTATAAAAGGTCAAAAAAAAATAATAATAATAAAAAAAAAACAATAAAAAAATTGTCAATTTCTTCCCGCAATTCCGCCCATCACCCACAAGAAATTGATTCCTGACCTAAGATTTATGTGCTCTTTCCAACACACCGACCGACGACCTTTGGAGTGCCTCGTAGTCCTCACCATTTTACAGAGACATGTCGACACATGCCCTCATTTACCTTTGTACGAGCCTCACTGTCATTAAAATTGGAAAATGATAGAAGAGGCTGCGGGCCCTCCCACCGATTTTGTGTTCCTGACCATTGGACCACCTCATCAAAACCACCTTGCATGTTTCAGTCTAATACCGTAGATTGAGATTCTCTCAATTATGGAAAGCGCTGTGGATTACAGCCAAAACTGTGAAAGAAAATAACAAAAGTGACACTGTCTACAGCAATAGCAAGAACAACGCATGCCCCTCTCCTGAAAATCATTAGTAAAGCCAGTACTGAACTCAGACACACCACATGACTCCCATGACCATATCTGATTTCTTTTGTCCTTTTACCTTCCCTACAATATCACTATATCTAATTTTCTGAGTAGAGACTCTATACATAAGTGAGAAGCCAAGTGGGTTTTTCCAACAAATGTCAACACTTTTGCTGCAGAAAATAGCAATGGAGGGGGTTAAAATTTTGTTGCTTTTCTGGGTTTTGAGTGTTGGAGTAGTGACCGTAATGGGCCTGCCGCCTTGTAATTTTCCGGCTATCTACAACTTCGGCGACTCAAATTCGGATACCGGTGGTATATCAGCGGCATTTGAACCTATTCCTGCGCCGTACGGCGATAATTTCTTCCGAAGGCCAGCCGGAAGAGACTCCGATGGGCGGCTCATCATAGACTTCATAGGTAAGAAACATATCAATAATAGTACCCACTTCAGTGTTTACTTCCATTGATGTAGTTATAATTTACTTGTTAATGTAGCTGAACACTTGGGCTTACCATATCTGAGTGCGTATCTTAATTCACTCGGGACAAATTACCGGCACGGTGCGAATTTTGCGACGGGAGGGTCGACCATCAGGCGTCAGAATGAGACCATTTTCGAATACGGTATAAGCCCCTTTTCTCTAGATATGCAGGTCGTGCAATTCAATCAGTTCAAAGCTCGAACAGCGGATCTTTACAACCAAGGTCATTCATCCAAAACTCCAAATACTATGTATATGTAGTACATATGTGTGTGTAATTTCTAATGAACCCAAGAAAGTGATTTCTTTTGCTTATCTGCAGCTAAGAAACCTGCTGACAGAAGCAATCTTCCAAGGCCGGAGGACTTCTCCAAGGCTCTTTATACATTTGACATTGGCCAAAATGATCTCTCTGTTGGGTTTAGGAAGCTGAGTGTCGAACAACATCGAGCAGCTATACCGGACATAGTCAATCAGTTTGCTGCAGCAGTCCAAGTAAGCCAATAGTCTCTCTGCTTTTATGCATACATATTACATAGTGTGTATTATTGTGCGTCAGTGCTAAAATTGATAAAAATGTGACAGCATCTATATCAACAAGGGGCAAGGACATTCTGGGTACATAACACTGGTCCAATTGGTTGCTTGCCGGTGGCCACTTTGTACATTCGCAATCCGGCACCTGGATTTCTCGATCAGTATGGTTGTATCAAAGGCCAGAATGACATGGCTGTAGAGTTCAACAGGCAGCTTAAGGACAGAGTCACGAAATTAAGGGCAGAGCTTCCTCGTGCCGCAATAACATATGTGGATGCATTCACTGCCAAGTATGGATTAATAAGCACCACAAAAACACAAGGTGATCAATCGCTAGTAGACAATATGAAAACACAATGTATACCTCAATAACAAAATGGTGTTTGGGTGTTCAGTTACAAAAATCAGTCCTTCAAGCAATGTCTATGGTTTTACTTATGTTGCTCTGCTATTCTCAACAGGATTTACAGATCCGCTTAAAATATGCTGTGGGCGTCACGAGAATGATATCAATGTGTGGTGTGGGCAGAAGGGTTATTATAATGGTACTGAAGTGTTTGGCGCCGCTTGTGCAAATCCATCAGCATATGTGAGCTGGGATGGAGTTCACTATTCTCAGGCTGCAAATCAGTGGGTGGCTAATCACATACTCAATGGTTCATTGTCAGACCCGCCAAATCCGATTAGTCGTGCATGTTTTAAGCGCGGAGGCATGTAATCCTAGCCATCTACGTAAGCCGCTATTATTCAATTCATGCTATAACAGAAGAAATTAGTATCAAGAGTCCAGAAGTGTATAATTATCAAGTCCCTCTTTTGGACTTGTAACGGGCATCAGATCAAAACTAAATGATGGAAGCAACGATAAATAATTATTCTCCTGATCAACGTCAAATTGAGCACATTGGTTATGCTTCTTTTACTTATTGAGGTCTGCGGTATGATCACTACCATCTACTTCAACTAGAATACATGGAAAAGTCATGAATTTTCAAACATAAATCATGTTGTGATGGTTGATGATCTTGTTGTTACATTTTACATCTTAAATGCCCATCTGAATAAACTTTATGCAGACAAGAATGCTCTAGGCTGAAACATGCTGCAACAAAATTTCTATGTAATATTTAGATGGCATTTATGGAGCATAATTAACTAGTAATGATGTGTTCTGTTCCATGGCCAAACCCCACCATGCTCTCTTACATGCTGCAGCAAGCTCAAATGGGAACCGAAATGCAATTTTCAATTCAACTCAAAGGCATCTAACAGAGCGCTCGTAGAAAAGTTCACTACACCATCACGTCAAGATTTCTTATCACAGCATGTTTTATTTGGCCATCCAATGTCTTCTCAGTGCTGTCTTGACTTAAATGGGACTGAATATCTGGTCAATTTCTCTCTCTCTCTCTATAGTTCCTTGTATAACCTTATATTTATCTCAATCTCATTTGAACTACACAATCAATATACATGTTTGTTGACCATCTGAACAAACATATTTGTTCTTTAAACTGTACATTATCTTGTGCCATTACTTGTACTGGTTATGGTGTAGAACAAACATAAAAGATGTCTCTAGGTGGCCAAGCTAAGCAGAATACTAATGCCAGTACCTGATGTCATGATCATTCCCGAGCTAGCTTCACATCAAGGACCAGGGAGTCACCATGTAGTACCTGAAAGATTTAAATTTAGCATCTCTTGATCAAGATTTAAATTTACTCTTGGTGGTCACTCAGTAGTTTTCATTGCCTTTAAATCATGTTGGTCAAATGGAATGTCGGGATGCATGAAAGTTCATACAGTGTACACATTTATCCGAACTGCTCAAAACCCTCAATTTTATAGTAGCCTGGACATGAAGATTAGATGCTTGTATAAGGAGAAGTGCTATGTGAAGAAAGCTGCATTGGATTGAGATCAAAAGATCCATGGCAGTGTTGGGCAAAACAATCAACATTTGTTCAATAGAAACTGAATTATCATTCAAGAGTGAATTTAATAATAATGAATACAGAAACCAAAATTACATAGATCTGTTTGGCAATTCTCAAAATCTACCTAGATTAAAAATCACATAAAGTCGTGAACCAAAAATTTTATGCTGAAATCACTGGATAGTTTAGTGGATGAAACCATCTCAAAGTTAATTTATCCACCTCTACTATGTCAAATCTCAAAAATTAACACAAAGGGTACAGGGATGCTTACCATTTAGGGTTCAGCTGTCAATGTTTCCAGCATTCAATTCTTCAAGAAGGCCAAGGAATAATTGAGTAAAAGGATTGCCCAGTAAATACAAAAGCCTTAAAGCTAAACTTGGACGATGAGAGACAGTTCGAGCCCAACCCGGCATATAATATTATATATATATTTTAGCTTGGTTAAAGATAGGGTTAGGTTGAGAAAGTTATCATAGTTCCTTGCATTGATTGAGTTAGGATCAACTTAAGCTCCAATAATGGAGTTAGGTTAGAGTTGTATTTCCGCGACAAGATTTTAATAATAATTACAACAATAGTACTTGTAAGATTAAAAAAATAAAACCAGGAACAATGATATAGGTAATAGATTGTATAAGGTATGGGTCATCTTACAGTTCTGTCCGACCCCAACTTGATTGAAATCTAATTTAAGCAATAAAAAGACGTGTCCAAATATTAAATTGGATTCATTAGCTGTTTTTGTACCCTCACAGCATGCTGCTTGGACTTCTTATTAGCTTAAAATTTTAAAATGTTAAACGTGCTTATTTCATTTCACTTTTAAAATTCAAACTAATGAGAAGCCCAATTCAATTGAGCATTTTGATATTGAATCATTATAGACTTTATAGTCGTCATTCTTGTTGCAAGTTTGTCATTTTTCCTAAAACACCGCCATATAAGTTAAGGAACAACTTGATCATTTTGTAACAATATGCAGTTTTTTAATTCAGAATACAACTTTAGTATCACGAGATCTTCAACCTCCACTCTGTAAGTGACTTGTGACAAACTGAGACCTTTTACCTCAGCCCCTGGATCTCCCTTTATAAAAAACGTGAAGTCAAGGGTTCTTCTGGTGGGAACAATGGAGTTCTTAAGAGTTTTAACTGTTGGGATTTTGGTTTCATGGGTTCCAAGTATGGTAGGAGGGGAGGTGATGGCTTCACACCTTGGTCATATTCCGGCCATTTACAACTTCGGCGACTCAAATTCAGACACCGGCGGTATTGCAGCAGCTTTTTACCCCATGGCAGCCCCATGTGGTGAGACATTCTTCGGAAAACCTGCTGGAAGAGGCTGTGATGGTCGCCTTATCATAGACTTCATTGGTAACAAAAAAATAACTTCAATTTGGAGTACTAGGTGTATAAAAATATATACATATATGCCCTCTCTGTCTCTCTCTCTATATATACACACATAGTAAACTATATATTATTTTGCAGCTGAGCATATGAAGTTGCCATACTTGAGTGCATATCTGAATTCAATTGGAACCAACTTCAGGCATGGTGCAAACTTTGCAACCGGAGGCGCAACCATTAGGAGGCAGAATGAATCATGGTTCCTAAATGGTGCAAGTCCATTCTCTCTTGATATTCAGACAGAGCAATTTCATCAGTTCAAAGAACGTACAACCGATCTCTACAATCAAGGTAATCTCAAAAGCATTCAATATTAACAGAAAATACATCTCTACATTTTATACTACTCAGACTAAACAAAATATATGTGTCTGTGATGGTCTTCTGCAGCCAAAAAGCGATCCAAGAGAAGCAATCTCCCGAGGCCCAAGGACTTCTCCAAGGCTCTTTACACTTTTGATATAGGGCAAAATGATATTGCTGCTTGTTTTCGGAACAATATGAGTGATGAACAAATGCGAGTAGCTATACCGGACATCGTTGATAAGTTTGCAGCAGCAGTTAAGGTACTTTCTAAGCTGTGGTTTAGTATTGAAATTAATGTGTGTTATTGCTAAAATTGATGTATGTTTGACAGTTTCTGTATACAGAAGGGGCAAGGGTGTTCTGGGTACATAACACAGGCCCCATTGGTTGTTTGCCAGTAGCCATTGTGGGTGTTCGTAATCCGAAGCCAGGCTATCTTGACGAGCAGGGATGTGTCAAGGGTCAGAATGACATTGCCATGGACTTCAATAGGCTGCTAAAGGATAAAATGATCCAACTAAGGACAAAGCTCCCTGAAGCTGCAATAACATATGTGGATATTTATGCAGCAAAGTATGGATTAATCAGTAATGCAAAGAACCAAGGTAATCATAATCTTTAGCAATATTTACACCGAGTGACTGCTTAAAACTTGGACCTAAACCGTCTTTGCGTTCACAATTAAAGTTTTTACCACTAACGGATCAAACAGTGGTTCTCTTGACATTTATAAAATATATACACCAATATGATGGTGCTACTATTCACTTTCTATTACAAGCAATGCAATAGCATAGGTTCATAGATAGTAATAAATTTTATTATTTTTTATTTTTATTTTTTTTTGCGCCACAATTTGAGTCAGGATGAATATACAAATGAAAAATAAATGGGAAGAGCATTTAATTTACTGGGTTCAAAACCAATCTGAGATCTACACATTTATATAACTTTTATTTTTGCTACAAACACAGTCCCTGAGTGACTAAACTGCCTAAACTTGGCAGGGAATAGTTTTAGTCACTCTTTCACCTTCACATGGCTTATTTGTCAAATGGGCCAGGTTCAGGGTGTTGGTGCTTGTGGCCAATGGCCCAGGTTCGAATTCCCATCCCATATATATCAGTTGCTTTTAACTTCCAAAAAAAAAAAAAAAAACAAATAGAAGAAGAAGAGAGGTTTGGCCCAGGTTCGAATTCCCATCCCATATATGTCAGTTGCTTTTAACTTCCAAAAAAATAAAAAAAATAAAATAAAATAAAATAAAATAAAAAACAGATAGAAGAAGAAGAGAGGCTTATTTGTCATTACTGAGGTGTAAACAGTATCCTAGTTGGTGAAGTCCCCAATTTGCTTGACCTAACCCATTGTGAAAAGTCCCATGTGTTTCTCATGATATAAAAAAATACTTGTGGGCTAGACACTTGTGTACATTTAGGGATTGTTAAATTGATGATGATTCTAGTAAATTTATGGTGGTTGATTGAACAGGTTTTGACGAGGCCTTCAAGATCTGCTGTGGGATTCATGAGAATGACATCAGTATCTGGTGTGGAAATAAAGGGTTGAGAAATGGTACGGAAGTCTTCGGTGGTTCTTGTGCTAAGCCTTCTACATCTATCAGTTGGGATGGTGTACACTACTCTGAGGCTGCAAATCGTTGGGTTGCTAATCAAATACTAAAGGGTTGGCTGTCAAACCCACACGTTACAAACACCCAAGCATTCCACAAGCACCGGGATTTATTGTAAGAATTCAGTTTGTGCTCTCAACATAGCTTACCTCGTACAAGTACAATGGGATTTAGTGTAATAAGTGCACTATAATTGTCCTTTGCTGTCTCAAGAAATTGTTTAAAGTTTGGTTTTCATATGTTTAATCTTAATGATAAGGACAGTAGCAGCCACTGTATGGAAATAATTCAAGCAAGTGCGCACACACAAAACGTCTAACAACAAGTACAAAAAATCTATTCTCCTGTTTGATTTGGACATAGATGATACGCACCATTTTAGCTTCTTAACAATTGCAAACAAAAAGTCTGTCAATGCTGTTTTTTATTCTTCAACAAGAAGAGAAAGGGAGGTGCCAAAGAAGGGATGTGCAACACGACCTCTATAGGCTCTATCTATTATAAATCAATTGCTACAACTATAGGTCCTCATTTATTTCCACGTGCAATTATGGTATATGAGTCTCTCCTCAGCCATGTACTTGCACCAGCTTCTAATACCTGATCATGTATTAAATTAGGAGCTTACTGATCATGAAGATGTTATGCCCACTACAATACCCGAAACATTTAAATAACACATCCAACACAGCTTCTAGTAAAATTAGCATCTCTTGTTCAACATTTCTGTCAGATGTGTTTAGAAAACAAAGATGACAAACCCATTAACCTTATAGGATTTTCGTTGTGTACGTTAAGAGTCAATAAACTGTGAAGGGGTCTGTGTAGTGTAGATAACGATTTAGAAGTACTCTTCAGATATCTTCAAAATAGATGTTCATCTAGTTTATTTCGATTATATATCCTGATAAGCAAACAAAGGATATTTATTCAAACTAGATTAGAGCTAGCAATGAACAAGTAAGCATAAACAATGGCCACATGAAGGCTCAACTTAAAATGCAAAGACTTGGAACTTCAAAATGAAGGTTCTAACAGATGATATGTCAATCAGTACGTTCAGGGGTTCAAGAAGGGCACAGACACCAAATATCTCCATGTCTTTCTACGGAAATAATTCTAAGAATAATTTCCTATAAACTAAACTAAATAAAAATAGAAATAATCACCCTTTTTCCTGCTATTTTATTAATAATAACTTATAAGTTGGGAATGGAAACAAGACTCACATTTGGTATGATAATTGGTGCGGGGCAGGACCTCTGTTCCACTGCTATAGCTCTGCCACAATTGTAAGCTCCCCCTTTGCTCAATCTTCCAGCCTTGATCGGTTTATCACTGGCAACTCCTGGTCCTTTCCTGCAGACTTGGTTAACCTCATTCCTTGCATGTTTGATATCCCTTCCCACTCTAAACCTAAGTCACACAATTCTTCTCCATGGGTGCCGAGTGCGCTCTTGCCTTCTCCGTGGGTGCCGAGTGCGCTCTTGCTCTCATGTGCGCTCTTGCTTCCACTTTCACTCTGTGTGAGTTAAATTTTGCAACTTTGGCGCTCCCATGCTGTGTGACTTAGCTCCAAACCCTACTGTTGATGACACTATCCTATGGTCTCCATGTCCTACTGGTAGGTTCTCCCTCAAGCACATCACTCCCTGTTTTCTAACTCCCTCACCTCTTGTTATTAGGTGCCAACCATCAATTCCCAACCACTGCTTCATAACCTGGTGAGTTGTACACAATGGTCTCCAAACCCTCTGTATAAACTAACCACTGAGAACCACTCACACCTCCTTTTTTCTCATTCCAATTTTCCCAATCAATTTGGTTTTTCATCAAGTCCAAATGTGGCTTCTACACTGCACAATTGAACTGGAATTCCTTTATATCTCACCACAGGAGCAATGGGAATCGATTCCTAGTGGAAAAACTCTCCTTCAGAGCCACAATTTATCAAATATGGACTGAGCGTAATGCAAGGTGTTTCGAGGCATTGTTTCTACACAATCACAAGTCCCCCATCGCGTACTAGATGATATGTCAGAGGAAAGCTCATATCCCTCCAATTGAAACACAGTGCAGCTGTGAGACCTCTTCTCCATGATTGGGATCTTCCCCCTTCCTGCTTGACGGAAACTGAGGCTACTGGCATCCATGGACGACACAGAGCGCTATCGGAGTGGCAGAGCTGCAAACCCTAACGGGGTTACTGCTAACGGCTAACGGCTGAGTTGGGTTGGGCTTCTTTTGAACCATCCATTGGGCTTGAGTCAGTAATGCTATTGAGGTTTTCTCTTGCAATGACTTTGGGCTTGGTTGGTCTTTTTGTTCTTGCACCTCTCGTATCTTACATGGATTTATGAGTGCAACGTGGACGGATTGCCAATGGGCCACGGCACTCGTTTGTCATGCTACAGCTGCACCATCTTTGGTACATAAAAGAAAATAAAATAAAAGATCGTGGGATCTCATAACATATTGTTTTTTAAGCAGAGACGGGCCCAAAAAGCTATGTGAGCGGGGACGAATCCTTTAACAATGAGAAAATAAATAAAAATCAAAACATGGAAGGGGCAATAGTGGAATTTATTTTTAATTTTAGTAGGAGCAATTTAAAATGTTTATAGGTGTATAATTCAGTAAAAGGAAATTAATACGTATACAGCAAAAAAAATAAAATCAGTGGGGGCAATTGCCTCCACCGAGCCTTCGTGCTTGTTTTTGAGGGCTTTTTTAATGCAATAAAATTTTAATGCCTATTTGATAATCTAAATGCAAAAGAGTACCATAATAAAACTATAGTATCATTTCTTTTATCTTCTTTATGTTTTTCAAATAAAAATAGAAGTAATTGTTATTTTTTCTTTCTTTTCCATCATAATTTATTTAAACACAAACAAAAAATTAAATTATCATTCTTTTTCTTCTTCTTTTTTCCTCCCATAACTAATGTTACTTTCATTTTTTTTCTATTCTACTTATCTACGCAAAACCTTTAGGGTTGCTTAGTTTGTAACTTTGAAAAGAATTTTCTATTTTCAAAAAATTGTACAAAACTCTGTGTAGTTCAGTTTTCGGATAACTGTCTTTTGTACTTCTCTAAAAACAGTTTTATGTTTTCTAAGTTCTTAAGAACTGTTTTCAGAATTACAAATCAATTAAGCCCTTTGTCTCTTTGTATGAACTTATTTTTAGCTTGAAATATATGTCAATCCTCTATTGTAGGAGGATGTGGTAGGGTCTTAATTGCTATTTTTCATGAAATATATATCGAACTTAAATATATATTAAAATAAAAGGATAAAAGAGTAAAGTCATAGATGGTTCAATGTGAAATTTTTTAAATCTAAGGAGAAGTTTATGTAAATTTAGCATATCTAGAGGGTAGGTCAATGTAATTATTTCTTGAAACTCATACTAGTAATATAGAGATTGGGTAAGATTTCGGTCGTCTGACACTTTGTTCAACTCCAACTTGGCAACTTTATTGAAGTCAAGCCGTTCTAGCACTCTTCCACCGTTCACACGCTACATATTGATAATTTTATAATGTTAAGGTGTTTCTCCCATTTCACTTTTAATATTCAAAATGAATGGCATCCCAATTCCATTTAGAATATCGAATCATTATAGTCTTCTTTTTCACTGTTCACATTTTTCCTAAAACACCGCCACAAGTTCAGGAACAACTTGATCATTTTGTAACAATATTAATTAAAAATACATATTTTGTATGATGAGAACTTCAATTTTTCCTCATAAAGTGACTTCATTCATTTATAAACTTAGAATAGTGATATATATATACACACACACCCACACCCCAGTGAATAAGTTATTCGTATGTCTAATAAGTAATTACAAATAAATATAATTACAAAATTAAAAAAATAATAAATAAAGAAATTAAAGAGTATTATAAATAAGTCGAGTTCTAAGTTTAAATTAGAAAGTTATTGTAAGTCAATCTGGATAAAATATGACAGTTTAATTTTCCAAACTTAAATTTTTGTGTATATATGGCTATTAGTTTGTTGTATATCAATCAATTTGCATGAAAGAAGGAAACATAAGATTGTTTGTCGTTCACCTTATGTGGTCGTTATATAACAATTTTCTATGTTACCAGCTTTTGTCCTGTTTTTTTTTTAATAAGAAGGAAATATCTATGGCAATTCTCTTAGTCATTTCATCATTTTAATCAACTTTTTTCAGGCATCATCGGTCAACCATATGGTCCATATCAACTATTATTCATAGAATATAAAATGTAAAGTCAAAAATAATGATTTCAATGTTTTAAAAGAAGATACTTCTAATATTTTAAGGCATATAATGACATAAGGCTACTGTTGATTAAGATAAATTATTTATGAGTTTTAATTAAATTTGAGTGAAAGAACAAGTCACTGAACAAAAGAGTTCAATTGAATTCCATTCATTTGCATTCCTATCTACAAGTACAGCGGAGTCTCTATAAATAAGTGAAGTGAGAAGGGACTTCAGTGGAGGAGGCAAGTGTTTAACATAAAAGTCAAACTTTTTTTTCTGGTGGGAACAATGGAGGTCTTAAGAGTTTTAACTGTTGGGATTTTGGTTTCATGGGTTCCAAGTATTGTAGGAGAGGAGGTGATGGCTTCAACACTTGGTGATATTCCGGCCATTTACAACTTCGGCGACTCAAATTCAGACACCGGCGGTATTGCAGCAGCTTTTTACCCCATGGAAGCCCCATGTGGTGAGACATTCTTCGGAAAACCTGCTGGAAGAGGCTGTGATGGTCGCCTAATCATAGACTTCGTTGGTAACAAAAAAAATAACTTCAATTTGGAGTACTAGGTGTATAAAAAGATATATTTATGCGCACACATAGTGAACTATATATTATTTTGCAGCTGAGCATCTGAAGTTGCCATACTTGGGTGCATATCTGAATTCAATTGGAACCAACTTCAGGCATGGTGCGAACTTTGCAACAGGAGGTGCAACCATTAGGAGGCAGAATGAATCATGGTTCGAAAATGGTGTAAGTCCATTCCCTCTTGATATTCAGACCGAGCATTTTCATCAGTTCAAAGAACGTACAACCGATCTCTACAATCAAGGTCATCCCAAAACTCATTTGATATTAACCAAAACATTTTATACTACTCTGTATAAAATAAAATAAATGAGTATGTGATGATCATCTGCAGCCAAAAAGCCATCCGAGAGAAGCAATCTCCCGAGGCCAGAGGACTTCTCAAAGGCTCTTTACACCTTTGACATTGGCCAAAATGATATTGCTGTTGGTTTTCGGAAGATGAGTGATGAAGAACTCCGAGCAGCTATACGGGACATCGTTGACAAGTTTACAGCAGCAGTTCAAGTACTATATGAGTTGTATTGTTTCGTATTGAAACTATCATGTGTTGTTGCTGAAATTGATTTGTGTTTGGCAGTATCTATATCAAGAAGGGGCAAGGGCGTTCTGGATACACAACACAGGCCCCATTGGTTGTTTGCCGGTATACACAGTGAGTGTTCGAAATCCGACGCCAGGGTATCTTGATGAGCATGGATGCGTCAAGGGTCAGAATGACATTGCCATGGAGTTCAATGGGCAGCTCAAGGATAGAATGATCCAACTAAGGGCAGAGCTCCCTGAAGCTGCAATAATATATGTGGATGTTTACGCAGCAAAGTATGGATTAATCAGTAATGCAAAGAAGCAAGGTAATCAATCATAATCTTCAGGAATATTATATATATTCACACCAATACGCTAAAAAGCATAGTTTTTGCATTCACACTAATGGATCAAACAATGGTTTTCTTGACATTTATTAAATAAATATATTCACCAATATGATGGTGGTACAATACCATAGGGTCATATCAAAGATAGTAAAATAGAATAGAAAATGATGGTAGCTAGCAATATTCTTTCAATATCTAGGTGGTGGTGCCATAATCACTCAAATAGTGGTGCCACAATTTGAGTGGGAATGGATCTATACATTTACTGGCTTCAAAACCAATATGAGATCTACACATTTATATACTTTTCTTTTTGCTACAAACACAGTCTTGAGTGGCTAAACTACCTAATCTTGGCAGGGAATAGTTTTAGTCACTCTTTCATGTATATGGCTTGTTTGACAGGACAGAGGTATAAACAATATCCTAGTTGGTGGAGTCCCCAGTTTGCTCCAACTAACCCATTGTGACAAGTCCATGTGTTTCTCATGATAAGCAATAAATAAATAAAATAAAACAATAACTTGTGGGAATGACTCGTGTACATTTAGGGGTGTTAAATTAAATTAACAATGATTCTAGTAAAATTATGCTGCTTTATTTAACAGGATTTGAGGAGGCCTTCAAGATCTGCTGTGGGATTCATGAGAATGACACTAGTATCTGGTGCGGGAATAAAGGGATGAGAAATGGTACGGAGGTCTTTGGTGGTTCTTGTGCAAGGCCTTCTACATATATCAGCTGGGATGGTGTACACTACTCTCAGGCTGCAAATCTTTGGGTTGCTAATCAAATATTAAATGGTTCGCTGTCAAACCCACAAGTACCAATCACCCAAGCATCTTTGGGTTGCTAATCAAATATTAAATGGTTCGCTGTCAAACCCACAAGTACCAATCACCCAAGCATCCCACAAGAACCTGTGATCTGTGTCAATCAACACTATTCAGTTGGTGCTCTCAACATATTTTACAGGGTTTAAGTAACAACAGGATTTAGTGTAACAAGTGCACTATACTTGTACTCTGTTTCAGAAATTGATTAAAGTTTGGATTTCATATCTTTAAAATGACAGTTGCAACCACTTTATACAAATAATTCAAGCAAACACGCACACACAAAACATCTAACAACAAATACAAAAAATCTATTTTCTTGTTTGATTTGAACAGATATGATAACATAACGTCTTATCATTTGCAAAACAAAATGTCTGTGCAACAAAACTTCAATGCTGTTTTCATCAGAGCAAGTAAGGTGTCAGGGAAAGGATGTGCAACATGATAAATCAATTTTGGGATATGAATCAATTACTGCAACTATAGATCTTCATTTATTCCAAGTATAACTATGGGATATGAATCTCTCCTGGGGTGACTGGGTGTAGAGAAGAATGGGTAATAAGTCAAGATCACATGGCTTCTGGTATTAAAAGCCTATTTCGAGATCCACCTAATTCCATGGTATGTTAAGAGGGCAGACAATCACAAGGGTGGAAACTTCGTACAAATCCAATGTTCATAGGGTTTAACTATAACAGTGGTAGCTTCAGATTAATAGTATCACCCATTGTAATGATTCTAGTTGAGACTTGAGAGAACTCACGGTGAGAGTGCTCTTATTACAGCTTTTCTATTACGAGAAAGAGAGGATAGGGGAAGTCTTAAGATCACTGATTGAGGGCGAATATATAATATGTTTCTTTGTAGGAGAGCAAAAAATTTCAGATATGCACACCGGTTGTAATACCCATAATTTTAAAAGGATAGTCTCGGTATTTATTTAATTGTTTTAATTACATTTTTATTTGATTAATTGATTATTTGGCTATTTGTTATATGTTTAATTGACTTAGTTGTTTAATTTAAATTGTGTGTGCTTAAATGGATTGTTCGAATTAAATTGTTATCTTGGTGCCCTGGTAGGTCTAGGTACTCATGCCCACTTTATGTGCGATTTGCATGTTGCCTTCTATTCAGGTTGAGACAAACCTATAATCCAGTGAGCGTCTTATAATGTGTATCTATATATATATATATATACGGATTATTAGTTATTGTTAGATTAACTAGGATGTATACGTGTATCGGATCTCTGCTTGGACTATAGTGGAGTAGAACTTGTTTGTGGGCCTGACCCACCATTATTTTTCAAGTGTTCGTCAGGAGTAGGGATTGTTCGTGCTGAGCAGGGATCATTGATTCAGTATTTAGTTGTAGACAATTGTTTACTATTGATTATTAGTTTGAGATTTTCTAGGGGTCTACACAGTATGGATTCCCAAGTTGTACTATTGGAGGATTAATTGTATCAAAATAATTTATTATTTAATGAAATTTTATTCTGAAGTTTCAATTAATGGATTATCATTTTAGTTTTCTTTTAGAAATTTATTTATTCTTATTTATCTATTTTGTACTCTGTGTTCAATTATTCCCAATTTGTTTTTGATTTCCTCGGGTATTCGGGCGTGGGCCTGGCCAACCCGCATCTGAAAATCTGGGGATATCACAGTTGGTATCAGAGCACTCCAGGTTCAAATGTCCTTAGGAGTGTCTTTCGTTATATGACTTCCGCGTTACGTCTCTTAAAACTTAGAGCCCATATTAGGATTCGTTATACTCTATTTACGGTTCGTTAGGAGGAACTGATGTCAATTATATTCTGTAATTACGGAATGGTTCCAAGGCGAAAGCGATAAAGACCTAAAGAAGTAAATGAATACGTTATCGATTCTTTGCTAGAAGGCAGAATTAAGAATCGAAGGTTTAATTCTAGATTGCGCTATTTAAAATATATATATATATATAAGCCAATGAATGATTTAAGTGTGTGTTTTAGGTTACCGCATATCGGAACCAACACGACTTTAATTATTCTCAAAAAGGAGAAAAGCGAAGAGGAGGAGTCCGAAGAGGATCCAAATGGAGGAGATTTTAAAGTATCCAATAAAGAGGGTATTAAATCTTGTTGATCATTGATCGCGCGAGGGTGATCTTATTTACTAGTAGTATAGGGAATGATATTGGTAGAATTGGTGTTGACCAATCTACATATAGTTAATTGTTTTCTTATCATCTCTAAAAGAGATATATATGGGGTACTCTTCAGGAGTTTGGGTATCTGATGGAGTTCTTATCAAAACAAAATATATGATTTTATATCACATTCAGAAGAGCATGGGGATTATGTTGTGATGTTCTAATTCGCTTTATAAAGCGAAGTTGAATAGTTTACATGTAACGACCCTCACCCTGGCCAGACACAATATTGTCCGCTTTTGGCTCACCCAGACCAGAGACTTCCCAGGGGGTCACCCATCCTGGTACTACTCCAAGTTAAGCACGCTTAACTACAGAGTTCTGATGGGTTCACAGCCATCACGGCTTTAAAACGCGTTGTGTCATAGAAGGGTGTTGAATCTACATATAGCACTTACCCCATCCACACCCAGACGATGTGGGATTGTGCACCTATAGCTCGCCCAGTGTGGTAGCCTACTGGTGCCCCCTGCACACGCTCACACACACCCGCCCACAAGGTCGCCACAATCAGCCCCCCTTTGGGGCCCAACGTCCTCGTTGGCCACACTTCCGGCTGGGTCAGGCTCTGATACCATTTGTAACGACCCTCACCCTGGCCAGACACAATATTGTCCGCTTTTGGCTCACCCAGACCAGAGACTTCCCAGGGGGTCACCCATCCTGGTACTACTCCAAGTTAAGCACGCTTAACTACAGAGTTCTGATGGGTTCACGGCCATCACGGCTTTAAAACGCGTTGTGTCATAGAAGGGTGTTGAATCTACATATAGCACTTGCCCCATCCACACCCAGACGATGTGGGATTGTGCACCTATAGCTCACCCAGTGTGGTAGCCTACTGGTGCCCCCTGCACACGCTCACACACACCCGCCCACAAGGTCGCCACATTACATTCCTCGTATAAGGAGGCTTAGGGTTGAGTCCTTGGTATTTGCTTAGGCAAACATATGTTGTTTTTAAGCTATGTTTAAAAAGGATGTGTTACGAGGTTGGATGAGTACATATGAAACTATAAAAGGAAATTTTGTGAAATAATTTTTGCAAGTTGATTTCAGAGGAGACTATCTTTTCTAGAAAGAATGATGTCTTAAGTAGAATTATATTTTGTTTTATTGTGCATGTCATACGTGTTTTATTTTCGTTAATCATTCGGGATTTGGTTTGTGGTTTACTTGGGGACACAAGTGTGTGATCAGCCAACTACTGTTTTTAATAACATGGAGTAATAGCGCTAGTTACGCTTGGATTGGGAGTATGTGGTCATAGGATTTGGTAGATATACATAATTCTAGCCAATCTATTGGACCTAGACATACGTCATTATGGTATGTTGTTTGGGATGGGATAGTTAAACCATCACTACGAGTCAAATAATCTAGAATGATTAGTTTGATATACTTTATGCTAGGTATGGATTCGTATAATATTACAACGTCATGATAATGGTGGTTGTTATATTTCGGTATTCCTGAGGTTGTGGTAAATAAAGACCACTGTAACTCCACGATAGTTTATCAGAGGTGTCGGAGTTGTAGAACATCTTCTTTGAAAAATTTCAAAAGTTGTTCCCAAGTCAGAAGGTGGATTTAGTACTGGTTTAGGTACTTATTGGAATGACACCGATTGAGGATAGTAGACTGAATAAATCTTCTTCAGTCTATTCTTGATCAAGAATTTTATTCATAAGGGCGTGTCATTTAGAGGAGTTGCAAGTGTTGCACTTGGAGGAGGAACCAAAGTCTCTACACTGTATAAATAATATGGAGAATTTTTTTTTTTTAATTCACAGTTCGCAACAAATAGTTATTGCTAGGAAATTGATGACTATTTGGAGGATGGAAAGGTTCCATATTCTTTTAAAGTTAGACAAGAAGTTTAATAGACACTTATTTATGTTAAAAAAGCAAAGTGTGTCAAAGACAAGATGGTGAGACCGATCACCTATAATAAGGAAAAGGTGCATGATGTGTGTGGAAAAGTTATAGCTAGTTGATTTTTGATGAATAGAATTATCAGTTGATTTTCATTATCGGTAAATTTATCACAGATCAGTGGTTCATAGATTTAGTTGCAGAGTTAGCTTTTGAAAATGCTTCAATTTCAATAATGGGTGCAGACGAAAGCTGGTGGTACTAGACTAATGGTACTTTCTGTAGACAAATTGGAAGGAGGATATAAGGACTGAGGTTCACAACTCTTAGTTCTTTATAAATCCTGGTGGAAACATAATGCTTCACGGTATGAAGCAAATGTTTGGAGGACAGGCAGAAGAAGGGACATAGTGATTTTGTCTCCCATTCTAATATTTATTAGATAATCGAGATGGACCATTAGAAATCACTAGATCCTTACAGCGATTTCCTATACTGAAGTGGAAATGACAGAGTATTTTCCACGGATTTAGTTGAGGGATTGCTGATTTTACACAAGGGTCAGGATTTTGGTTGGGATATTGGTTGACTGATAATTTTTTGTCTACTTTGAACTGGTAAGATATCAATTCATACGAATAGAACGAATTACGACACGACTTAAATGAATCAAAGTGGTGATTCACACTTTGCATAAAGTTCTATATTTAAATCTTTCGGTTAGTTGTTGAGTTATCAGTTTAAGTTTTTAGCATGTGTAATAATAACACTTGCTATTACCAAAGTATTTAAGGAGGTCAACTTTAAATATCGGAGTTGACCCTGAAGGAGGTATTATCTTACTCAGATAAAGTTTAAGGTACTGGAGGAGGTTTAGTCGATTCTGTAACTGATGTTACGGAGGTCGGAGTGACTGAAATGTAAAATTCATAATTTTACG